CCCCCCCAATCCAAAATCACCTCCAGAACCCCAAATACAAGGAAAAACAAAATGAAAGGGGATCCGATGCCCTACAGTATTCTGTGGGAGTACTCGAGTATGGTATTTGGTAAGTGGAAGTGTAATATAAAGAACGTCTCGAATCTATCCATCCCAACCTCCCAACTTCCTAAACCTCAACCGAAAGAACCCCATGCTCCTAGGTATCCCCGTACTCGCTCCATGAAGGAGAAAACAAAAAGGCCCAGCCGTGAGGCGATTCCCATTCCACCAAATCGCCCGACACCAGAATCAGTAAACACCAGAAAACGCAAGCATAACGCCCGTAAATTAGAAGATAAAAATCAATAGTCAAGACCAGAACTCTTGCCTTGGTCTTCACCCTGAGGCGCGTCACTCATGGGTGTATCTACGGACGCTGTGGGATGTGCTCCCCAACTCCATGGCAACCAACTATCACTGCTTACATTTCTCTTCTTCTGAGGATCAGACCCCTCGGTACCGCTCTCCGCATCAATCTTTTCAAAATCAGCCTCGCTCTTACGGCTACTCAGACCACTTGCAGAACTCTTGGGGCGCTCAATGGGTTCTTCTTCACTGCCGCCGTCCAAATGAATGCTCCCTACACGCTTGGCCCGAACGGGATGATTCTGAAGCGTATTGGCTTCCTTGTCAAGAGCGGAGAGAAGAATGGAAAGCCGTTCACGTTGCGCCGCAATGAAAGAGAGTCGCTCTTCGCCCTGCACACTCGGTGGAATCAGGGTCCCGGAGTTTGACAGGTCGCGGGTGGAACTAGTGATTCCACCTTCGCGGGACGTGGCGGCGCTGACAGCGGACGCTAGGAGAGAATAGAAATCGGTTGCGGCACCACCACTTCCTGTGTAGGTAGGTTGTGTGGGTTTGGCGGTTGGAAGATTGAATCGAGCCATGAGAGTTTGTGTGTAGGAATATGGAGTTGGGGTCGCGGGTGGTGTAGGCTCCCTTGGAGGGAAGCCGAGAACATTCTGCTTCACGAATTCGATAGCTCGTTTGAGATAGTTGAGGCCTGCTGCCTTTGCGCGCTCGTGTGCGGAAGAGATGAATTCATCGATCGCAAGTTCGTTCTCATAAAGGAAAGGGCCAACATGAGATTGGTATAGAACTCGGGCGCCTTGCGTTTGGGGGAGGATGAGGTAGAGGAGGAAGCCCAAACGGAACCAGGAATAGAAGGGAATCCTGAGCAGAAGTACGTGTTAGATATATTCTTCTCGCTGAGACACCGAAGCTTTGCATACCAGAAGAGGATAAAGCCGACCCATGACTCAAACAGAAGGGCGCACGCCAACACGACCCAGTACATCAGCCATGGTTTGAGGAGGGCTGGATCCGCGGTTTTGAGAGCTTTGTAGGAAGCGAAGACGGGGAAGAGAAAGGTCGGAATCGAGCTAGACGGTTGTTAGCATCTGCAAGGCACCAGCAGCGTTTTTGCAGTGTTCCGAGCATAGCATCGCATCGCATCGCACGGCATGGCATCGCTGTGGCGCTTGGTGGGTCGAGTTGACAGCTCGTTGGTGTAGGGCGGTGATGACAGCCGATGATGCTGATGATGCTCCATGTTTGGCGGGGTAGTTTGGGGTCACCTACGATAAGAGCCTGGCAAAGGTATCGAACATGGTCAAGTGTCGACGTCCAACGCGGAGTAGGTGGATGGTGGATGGTGGATGGTGGATGGTGGATGGTGGATGGTGGAAGGATCTGCAGATAGGGAGTGAGAGAGTAGGTGAGAGCTCAGTAGGATGGACGGCGCACTCGTCTTCGCTGTGTGTTCTGTTTCGTACGGATGGCGTTGGTGGTGGGAGAGCGGACAAAGAGGGTCACCTGCGAGTTAGCGAGTCTTAGGGTACCCTAAGCTACTGGTAGGGTACAGTGGTAGGGTACAGTGGTAGGGTACAGTACGAGTACTGGTCCAGGAATGAGGGGAGGGGAAGAGAGGGGAAGGGGCAACTCAGGGTTGAGCCGCTTATCAAGTGCCCGAATTCCGGGGTCGACAGGGGGTGACAGCGCCAATGATTTGATGACGATGCCTGACCATTGGCGATGTCCGGGGATAGCTACTACTGAGCGAACCATATACGTCACAAGACCAAACATCATTTATTCACATTCATGCCATGACAAGATACCGATTCATACTGTAGGTCCAGTATCCATCGGTACTCGATTTATAAGACGAACCATTTTATTTGTAGGTTGCACCTTGAAAAGGAGGCGACTGAAGCCGGTGGTGCCCATTCCAGCCTTACCTGGGTAATGTTAGCGGAGCATGGCCGTGGCTGATCTGCAGCCTGCATCGCGGGAACATCACCTGCATGGAACAGCTCACTCGATGAGAAGAGGTCACCGACAACGGCCTCTACCCCAAGTGATGACACGAATCACGGTTACTGCCACTGTCACTGGATTGGGAAGAACCCATCAACCCATGGAATACAGAGACTGCTGTACTTGTACCTTTCCACGCCATCAGAATTGAATCCAGGCGTTCGGTGGAGGAATCTACGATAACCGTCAGTCCACCTTCACCCTCACCTTCCTCACTCGCCCTTGCCCTTCTGACCTACATACGAACCGAGCTAATATCTTTCCTTGAAACACCGCAGAATACGGAATGTCATTTGTTCAAATTCCATCTTCAACACATCATCGAGAAAAATACACAACTGCTTAGAGTTCGAAGCCGGCAGACAACAAAAGACGTCATCACCATGTGCATCGTCCTCCTCACCACAGCACATCCCGACTACTCCCTCATCATTCTCGACAACCGCGATGAGTTCATTGTCCGTCCAACCAGTCGCCCCCACTGGTGGTCATCGCACAACCAGGAAGTCCTCTCCGCCCGAGATCTCCAGCGAGCCGAGCAGGGAACATGGATGGGAATCACCAAGACCGGCAACTTTGCCGTCTTGACCAATTACCGAGAAACCGATGCGGAACAACCGATACAAGGAGCCAAGAGCAGAGGGGGGATGGTGACGGCCTGGCTGGAAAGTAAGGACAGTGAAAGTACGGAGCATTTTGTTCATCGCACATTGGATGAGGAGGGAGTGGCGGGCATTGGGGGGTTCTCGCTGTTGTTTGGGAAATTGAGGAAAGAGAAGACGGGAGAGAATGTTGAACCACTGGGGATTATCTCGAATCGATGTGATACTTCAAGTGATGTTCCATGGATAGGACAGAAGAGAGGAGAAGTTTACGGACTGAGCAATACTTTATACGACGACCCAATTCCCTGGCCGAAAGTTGAAATGGGCAAGGAATTGCTATCACAAGTCGTTGAAAAGGCCGTTTCATCCAACCTGAATGAGAAACAACTAGTGGACCTATTATACCAAACCCTCGACGCCGACACCCTCCCCAAAAATGACGGCCAGGAATTCGAAGAATACATCTACCAACTCCGAAAATCCATCTTCATTCCCGCAATCGGGAGCGCAGCCTCTGAAGCCGTTCCCAAGGCCGACGCAATCGCAAGCGCCAACTCCGAAGTCGCAAGTGAAAGTATCGAGCAGAGCAAAACTACCGAAAAATTGACCGCAGAATTCAGGTCCACAGAAGCACCTACTCCCACTCCCACATCCGCACCAATGACCGGTATCTATGGCACCCAACGACAAACCATCATTCTTGTGGATTGGGAGGGAAATGTGTCGTTTCGGGAGCGTGCTTTATGGGATGAAGAGGGGAATCCTATTGAGCGAGGGAAAGGGGATATGAAATTCGAGTTCACTATTGAGGGGTGGCATGGTAATTGAGGGGAATTGGTCGACTGTATTATGAGGATGATGAAGTGCGTAGATAGATAGATCGGGCCAGGTGGCGTAGAGGTAGGTAGGTAGATTTGAAAAGTTGAATGGAGAGTAACGATTAATTCCCATTGCCACTTTCCTTTCCTTTACTTTTTTTGCAATGTATTCATGAAGATAATCAGATTAATACTTATAGCTGCCTATCCTTGAGCGTGGAAGTAGTGGTGTAAGATTACACATTACCGTATGTGATATCCATGAAATCATAAAGAATCACGAAGATACATAAATCTTTAAGCCCGCTTGTTACAAGAGTTTTTTCTTTTTTTTGTTCATCGTATTATCTATCACTCATGAGAATACATTACCTATCACTTGAAATATTTCTAGCTGTATATTATAGAGTATTATACTTTATAGTCTTCTAACTTTAGCCAAAGGATATTATTCTTACGTACTACAAGCGAGGATTTGATTTGACTTGATTATTATCCTCTAAAAGTATCCAATTTATTAAAATTGATGATTTGTTCTTTTGAGGTATTCTCTTTGGTTTAATAGAGTAAGGGAGTGTAGGGATATTTGAAGTGGAGTTGTGTGATTTGATTGTGTAGATTCAAGGGGGTATTTTTGAGAAGGGGGTTTTGAATAGTTTGGTAACAGTTTATTAAGTCTTTGGTTTTATTTACTGTTGTGTCTATCTACTTTGTATGTGATGTTGATGTCTAGGCTTTGTATTACAAATACTTTTGAGATTGAATGTTTAGTAGTTAGGTTGATTAACTACCTATGTCTATACTTGAAGTTCTACGTACCTAGTACTAATTAACTTATTGCCTTTTTAGAAATATCTATAAAGCTAATTACCTAGGTAGTAGGATTTAGCGGCATTTGTCACTATAGGTAGCTGCAGACAATTGTGGGGCAGGTTCTGGTATACAGTAATCACGTTACTATTGGACGTGTTTGTTTTGTCGCTTCCGCTCTTCCTCTTCCAAGATCGCGACAAACCATTAATCACAACCACAATGTGGAAAAGAAGACGAAGCAAGATCCTTCCTGTGAACGTGGAAGAAGAGGCAGTGTACGAATCAAAAGTAGAGGAAGTTGCTGTCATGGAAGTCTTGGCCCCATGGGAGGAAGGAGAGACTGTGCCCAGAATGGTAATTTAGCCGAACGCATCTAATTCGCGCTTTCCATCTTCCTCCCTCTCAATTCACTTTCATCGCATCGCGATCTGACAACATTCACAGGTCAATATGCCAGTCACTCCAGTCCCATGGGGACGGCGGAGAAGAAGCACGTTGGTGAATTCATTCTCCACAGACCAGCTTAAATCTCCTCCTCTGCTCAGAAACAGCCCTTCCCTCTGCATGGCAATGCCACCACCTCAGACGCGTATCCCAACACCAACTGAGGTGAAGGGCAGAGCTCGCGCTCTACGTTACGTTGCTGTCGCATCTGACAAGAAGGAGGTGAGTACAGAGCTTTCTGGCCTTTGTTGATCTTCTGTTCCTTGGTCAATGAGCTGACAGTTACCTAGAACGCTCCGCAAAAGCCCACGCGGTTGATGGGGCCTATTTCACCAGCGAAAAGTAGCCAGAACCAACCCACCCAGGGTCTGTCCAAGTCGCGTACCATGGGCGTATTCTCAAGCATAACATCCAGTTTCTCAAGGTCAAATTTACACATGAGCCATAATAGTACCAACCGCCAATCCTCCTCATCTTCTTTTGCTGGTTCAAGACTCGATTTATCTAAAAGTAGATCATCTGTCCACCTTCGTAGCACTGCTCCAGCAACTACAGAAGTCTCCAACATTACTGCAGCAGCAGCACCTTCCACACATTCCCACTCTCATTCTCGCAGCTCATCCATCAATATCATGTTTACGGAGGAAGAGAAAGTCAAACTCATCCATGATGCTCAACCTTCTGCATACTGGTGTGGTCGACTAAGCTCTTTGTACAACCAATATAGCAACGAGATGCTCGAAGCCATAGAAACCGATCCGGAAAACCTGCAAATGTATACTGCGCCAACACCAGTTGGTTTCGTTCCTCCTCGCCTTGCCAAGGACAAGGATAAACATAAATCGAAAGAGGCACAAGCAAAAGCCAATAACGACCCCCAAGATCCACTCGACAGCGAACGACTTGCAAGTTCCATGTTCATGGCCGAAGCGTCCGATGAACGATATCGACGTGCCTTTGCAACACTACGCGCTTACAGTGTCACGGCAGAGGCCAAGAAGAGCTTGTGGGATTTTCAGCAGACTTATGCGAGGAACCAGAGAAATGAACGTTTCCTACCTGCTGGTGGACACATGACGGATGCTTGGTACACGAGACTTACAAAGGGACATCGAGATGATAAGTCGGAACGAGGTACTAGTTTGGGCATGGGAAGACGAACCGGACTTAGCATCAGCAGATTTGGTCGAAGTCGCAATGAGTTGACTCGGTCAAATGCACAACGATGAATGATGTTTTTCGATCGTGTTGAGATCAATACTCCACATAGGGGGCAATAGGGGTGGAGATCAATCAAGCAAAAATCGTGGCTTGTCATCGAGGTCTCTATTCAAATCAGATGCTCATTTGCAACTTCTGTCTTTGCTACGCCAAACATTCCTCACCTGTAGACGCTTATATGGATACACCTTCGATGCCACGTCATCTTACTCGCTCATTTCCTCCTCTCCTCATGACTCGAGGCAGAGATGGGCTCAAGCTGACATTCAGGGGATGCACTCAAGGAAATGGAGTTGTGTGTATGATATCCAGTTTTGTTTTTGCTTTGGAGGTGTTTTTTTGTCGATTTATGGATATACCCAGGAGTACAGTACCATGAGTTTGCTTTATGGGCGGTAACTCTTCAAGAGATGCTTTGTGGCGCTAGATTACTATTTCTTGTTTTCTTGTTTTTTTCTTTGCTTTTGTGGTGGTGATACTTGTGGGTTGATGAGTTGATGAATTGATGAATGGATGGATGGTTATGATAGATGATGAATAATGAATGGATGAATCAGTAGTCAATAATAAAAAAAGAATTTCAATCTTCTCTAACCGTGAGATGAAATAAAATATTCATGACTACTAACTAGCGATTCTGGAATAGATGTCAGTATCAATATCTCCATCTTTATCCTCCACCTCTCTTTACATCCTTCTTCCTTTCTTCCCAAACAAATCTTATTATTAATATCCCCTTATCCCCTTCCCAACTTACCAGTACTCTAATTAATCACCTAAAATACCCCCGCGCCAAATAAGTACCCCTCAAGAGGAAAAATGAAAAAGTCGAAATGAAAAAGTTGAAAGAAGAGTGGGTGGTTCTATTCCAGTTCTGTTACTGTTCTATTACTTCCTTTTTCTTGAGAGAGAGAGAGAGAGAGAGAGAGAGAGAGTGAGAGGGAGGGAGAGGGAGAGGGAGAGGTATTTATTTATTATTTCCTAATACTTTATATCTCCTCTCTCTAATAGCTCTCTAAACCCCAATATAATCCCCTAGCCCCCTAACCCCCTCGAAAAACCACTTTATTTATTCGGGACTTTAAAAATATTACCTTTCTTTTTCTAACCCAAGTATACTTATAGATAGAATTTTACTTAACTATAGTAAGTATACTACCTAGCTCTACGGGGACGGAAAAACCTTCCTTTTTTATTCCATCCTATACCTACTAAAAACTAGCGACACTACTCCTTTTATCTATACCTTTATATATATTCTATATATAATTATATAGTAAATAACAGCTTAAATTCTATTATTGTGACGGTTCTGATCGTCACGTGCCATTCATATCACGTGGCTTCCTTAGCGAACCACATTGTATTTAGACTCAAGCTCTCTCGAGCTCTCCTCTTCTCCTCAGCTTAGAATCTTCGAATAGACAGTTCTACGATTCCATAACCTACACCTTGAACGCTCCTTGAGCAACACATCGTACGTGTCGTCACAGTTATAAGTTAGCTATTTATAAAACTATACCTAGAAACGTTATAGATCTATAATTTATTATAAGAAATAACATAATTTAAACTAATATCTTTTACTAGTTTAATAATTCTATAATTTTAGTAATTTCTATCTAAGAATAAATATACTACCTGTGACGACACGCACAGCTGATGGACCGCGCAAGAGTGCACGACTACGTCAGGTATCACGAGTGGTGAGATTGACACTGTGGAACTGTCTATACAAAGATTCTAAGCTGAGGAGAGAAGAGAAGAAAGGACAGAAGCTCAGGAGCTCAGGAGCTGGAGGCTCTTATATACAGGAGGTGTGCCAAGCGCACCTGCTTAGCCGAGTTCCAGCCAGGGACTGGTCTGGAGCATGGTTGCCGCAGGGTTTCTTTCAGCCAGGGGCTGGTCTGTAGCGTAGTGGCGGTCAGAACCGTCACACTACTGGTTATAAAATAAGGCGTTTTAATACTTAGTATATTCTAATTAGGTATAAGCTATAGCTCGCTTAAAGTCCTATACTAACCCTAAACGTTTTATTTATTACGTATAAAGTAATAAAAGTTATTAATATTCGCTCTTTAAGCTTTCTATTAAATTAAAGGGATTAAGATACTGTAACGAATACTCAAACTGGCTAACTAAACTTGGCTGGGTGTTCGCTGGTTGGTATGCTATGATAAGAAGAAGACTATCGGGTTGTTCACTTGGAAGTGAACTCGTTACTTGTATCAAAGATGTCAAACTAATATGATAAGATTGATAACTAAGTTGAGCACGAAGCTCCTATCTAAAGGCAGAAGTGCCAGTCTTATATAGAACCTTCGTGTTCCTGAAGTCGACAATGTCGACTGTCGACATAGTCGATAATCGACTTCTCGACCAGGCGAGAAGTCGACCTGCATATATCACGTGACTTGTATACAAAGAAATTCCTGGATCGCTTAACTAACCTAAGCGATCCCTTTTTGCTATAAGAGCCATGATGTGTTTGTCCTGTCAGAACCCCGTCTGGACTAACTCCTCACGTGCTAGCACGTGATTTGTGACAAGAACGTTTTATATAAGACGGGTGAATATAAATAAAGAGGGATTCGAGTAATTTTATAACGTATTTAAGGATACAAGCTAGGAGACTATAGAATATATATATTTAAAGTATACTAGAAGATTATATAAGTATCGGAGGGTAAATAGGCAAATAACACCTTATTAATTCTATAGTGTTTCTACTAAATTTTGGTAGGTGCGGCACGGAACAAAAAAGGAAGTTTTTTCCGTCCCCGTAGAGCCTAGGTACAATAGGGTAAGATTACTTTACATAATATCTCGTTCTTGTATGAAATGAATGATTTCTTTCACATATTACAAATATATGTCCATGGATTACAAAAGGTGCTATGATTTCATCAAAAAAAAAAAGAGGCTGCATGACTACACTCAACTCCTCTCTACACCTTCCATACACGTATAAAGAAAACAAATCAATTACCTAGACAAATGCCTTATCACTCAAAACCCCATTAAACACCAGACACCACGCTAAAAACAAACTTGCTTACGATGATCTAGAAGGCGTATCACCAACACTCTCCTTCCTAGGCTCATACTTCCTCTTCACCATCCTCACCCACCTCCGTCTCCGCCATTGACCTCTCCTGCCTCGTCCCTCTCCCTCAGCATCACTCCCCTCTTCCCAGCTAGGTAAGAGCTTCTTCTTCCCCCGATCAGCGAGCGGAGAAGGAGTTCCCCTCCTGGGCGTACCATCATAATCCGAGTCTGTATCGCCAAACGAACTCTGGTTGTCGGATTCATTCTCGTACCGCAAATCATAGACCCATCTCTCCCCTTCGGTTTCTACCTCAACACCTGTGATGATTCGTTCCTCGACCCATTCTCGCGACCATAAATCAAGTGCCCACTTCTTTTCGCTCCATTCCCATCCTTCGGGCGCCCGAACATCCTCAAAAAAACGTGTTCCCCGTGGTCTCTCGTGCTTGATTCTCGACGAGGAAAGAGGATCGTAGGGCGATGAGCTAAAGAGCCAGGATTCCCAGACGCCGGCTGAGGAAAGTTTTTCGAGCTCAAAGATCTCGACTTCTCTCGTTTGAGGGGCGGAATCGAGGATTACATCGTGGGCGATCCAGGTGTTGAGCCAAGATTCAGCGGCTTGGGAGTGTGGGACAATGTGAGTTTCGTGAGTTGCGAGAAATTGGCGTTGCAGTGTTGGATGACCTAGACAAGTTGTTGTCCAGCCTACGACGAGGAATATGATTCTCCATGGAAGCAAGTGGCTGCCTATAAACATTGCTAGGGCGGCTATGAATGTGAAGAGAAAGAGAGTCGACGAAAGGGATTCGTTGGAGAAATTTGTTGGTGGTGATAGGAGGGAGATTGCTTTATCGTGAGCAACGGAGAAGTCTTCCATGCAGTTTTGTAAATCTCGCATGTTACGGAAGAAATCTTTGGAGAGCTCTTTGGCGGGTTTGACGGTAGGAGCCGGTGCAAGGGCTGGACCAGTTGTCGGGTATTGGGTTGAGGTTTCTATTGAGATTGTAGATGGAGGGGCAGGATGTCTTGCAATGAAGGATGGGATTAACAGTCCTAGGAGGAGAAACAGAAGCGGCAAGACAGTGAGTATGTATGGGTCGAGACAAATGAAGGTGTATATCGCTAAGAAGGATAAGGTATGGGTGGGGTATCTCCAAGAGAGCAGGCGAATGACTTTCGCTTGGAAGAGAAATACAACCCCAATCCGCGCATTAAACCGACGAAAGTTATTCGACATGGTGGTGATATTGAACGAAGGCCTCGATATAAACTCAGAGTGCGAGAAGGGGTTCTTGTCTGGATTAGAGGATTGATCTTCAATAGGGATGACCTGTTGGAGAAGCCTGTATCACATGTTAGGTGAAGCTATCCCCAGCGGGGACTGCAATACTCACTTCTCGAGCAAACGGTCTTGCATGCTTGCGCTATGCTCGGAAACCTTCTCTCGCGTCTTCCACAAGTTATCTTTCAAGCTCCTGCCACGCCTGATGAACAGATTTCGTCTTGGTTCATCCAAGGAAACGTCGGGAGACTGATCCCCCAGGCCATGGTCACTGTCGGACAGATGGCCATCTTCATGTCGATCAATTACGACGGATGGAATAGTGTCGCTTCGGTTGACTAACACATCTGCGGTAAATTCCTCCATCACGCGAGAACTGAATTCGGGGCTGTGGAGGATTTGAATTCGGATTTCGAGGTCGTGGTTACGGCGGGGTACGGAGTGAGTATTTGCTGATGGATGGTCGTAGAATATCGGTGCAAGATCTAATCTGACTACTCTCCAGCACGAATGGCGTGAAGAAACGATGATGATTTCTTCGACATCTCCTTCTCCGCCAGCTCGAGTCGGTTGTTTTAGGTGTTGTTGTTTACATTGGAGTGGTCAACTGTCTTTCTTTTCGCCGCATTCACACGTCCGCATCACAAGCATATGACGTTCCTCGGCAGTTACGAGGAAAGCTTGGCATAAGCATAGGCTGGCGTGCAGAAATGCAGCCTGGAATCCAAGGTCCGAAGCTGTTGCCGATGTTTTCGTTAGCCCTTCAATCGAGGACAATTGAATTTAGTGAGTACGAGTAGTTTTGTATGTAAACAAACAACCAATGTTCGTCAAAGTCTTGAAGCAGTAGGAAATAGGAAAATCTTCTGACACTGCTATGAAATACTTGCCATCGCTCTTAGCCCTACCTAATGTTTATCCCAAGCAAGTACCAATTCTCATGGTTTGCTAGGTATGATATTTGCAAGTACGAAAGGATTCTTGTATGAGGACTAACTATTATTGGATGAACACAAACTCCACTCGATCGAGTTCTATACTTCGTAGCTTTTTGTAATACCGGTAATTTGATAAGCCTTTTGATACTGGTAGGAATCGTACTTTGAAGTAGATGTAAAAGTGAGATATTCATTGATCAATCTCCAGGGGACCCAATTTGAGCAAACGGGGAAGTGCATTCCGTATGCAAGGGGCACATCCAAGTGAACCCCTTTTCTCCTCGCTTTCAGCTAATCAGCTACGAGGGCCTCGCACCCTCTATCAACACCACAATCGCCCTTCCAATATCCGTCCACTTTGTTTTTCAACAAACGACTGGAGCTTTGAAATTGAAGGGTGCAAAGATGTCATCTTAATCCCATTAGGGGTAACCTTATCTTTTTCTCGGCCACGGCCACGGCCACCCCGCCCGCTTGGGTATACCGGTACCGGTAAGGAGAAACAGAAAGGTTGTTTGCGTAGGCCAGTGAGGATCTCCCGGTGGGGGATTCTTGATGCTGGATTTGCAAGAGCAGCTGGCAGCTGCGGAGAAATTGATGCCTTAAGTAGATATAAATCTGGATTTGCAACAGATGTGAAGCTGTTGTTGTGAATCCCAAGTCACGTAGAGTATGAGATTCCGGTGTACCTGTTCCTGTACCGCTGCAGGACTGTGATCAACACCATGCAGAATCAGGGGCCGCGTAACTATTGGGCACCGCTGGGCTGCTGTACAAGAAAACGTCTGTTGTGAACCTTTTTAAGGAGTGGTGGATGGATGAAACGTTGATACTTGTCATTACCGTCCCTATTCCCAAGGCCACGAATAAGCATACATGATATTGGAACATTTACGATGTAATAAGAGTGCAACATAACAAAACAATACCGGCAGATGTGGTGCACGTCGCTGGCGTTGGCGGCGTTTGGGCTGAATGACTGGACTCGCTTCTGGCCATCCCTGCCTCTGGAAGTCGTTTCCGAGGTAACTCCAGGGCATTACTAGGGAAGTTGCGATGGGTGAGGTGAGGTGAAGGTGAGGGTGAGGGTGAGGGCATACTGTAGCGACATAATTTGATTGCGGTGTGGGAAATATGCAACTGTATGTTGACACTACTGACAGCCACAGCTTCCTTCCACGAAAATATTGCACCACATCATCGCATCGTCTTTGTCTAAAAGTGCCGCTAGCCTAGCCTAGTCTCGCTACGGATACCCCCCCCAAGCCCCCCCGGCGCATCAGCATCTCCAAAGCCCTAGGTTCCTAGCTACAGTCATCTATTTTTCCTCGAGTGACCGACCTGCACAGCATCATCTCCGCCTAGACCACCGTGCCGGTGCAGTCCCTCCACTCCGACTTCTGCGATTCGCCTCACTCGCGTCGACCCTCCAAAATAACACCAACACCACGCAAGCACATCGCCCGAAAACGGCTGCTGGAGATGATATAGCCCATTGACTTCCTCGGCCCTGGGACGGACTGAGCCTCGATCGCACTGCGAGCTGTACAGGAGAGAGGAACACGAGGAGGACGTCCGCCGACCACGATTGCTACGGTACCGCAGCTGTAGCTGTAGCTAGCTGCTTGCTATTCACTCGCGCTGGCTTAGTGTGCCGGCCGTTCAGCACTCAATGATTCGAGAACAGAAACATCCTTCGGGTCCACGACCAGAATACTCGCCCAACAAACAGTATGTGCGGCCTTGTGTGGTGTGTATTCCGTTGCCCTGGATTCCTGCTAATTGCGGCTGTATGTGTAGGCAGGAGAACTACCACCCCAACACGAGACAGCGGGTACCATCTGGCAGACAACCGACCCTCAGTACCTCATCCAGCAATCACAATAATCATTCCCTCTACCAATTTGGCTCGCTTGCTCCCGTAGACCAGACCGCAACCGGAGCCTTCGATTTCCTGCCCTCACCCAGTTTCGACGACTTACACAGCAGCATCTCGGGCGAGTCTTCTAATGACTTCACCAACTCGTCCTCAGTGCTAGGAGGACCCACGCTTGGGGAGAAAAGATCCATCGCAGCCATGACAGAGGGAAAGGGAACGGGCGTCGGCCGTGGTGGTGGTGGTGCCAGACCACAACCAGCGAGAGCAGGATCATTACTCGGACGGAGGCAGAGCACGTCGACACGCCAGAGTAGTATTTCCTCAACAGCATCGGCGGGTTCGGGGGCGATGGATCCACCAAACGCTCCTCTGGCCATGCGTAATCGACGACAAAGCGCATATCCACCAATTTCGGGCAGCGGTACCGCAAATTCTGCAAGAGCACCACGCAAGTCGATAGGACCAGGGGTGATCGATTCCGACTTCACAAAGCCCACCCAAGGGCGACGTCCCAGTCTGGTGGCCAGCTCCTCTTCTCAGGGGTTGTCCGATGCGAATAACACGTCAACACGGGTCAATGGTGGGCCAACGTACACAGATGGAGCCCGACGGTTGACGGCCTCTCGAGCAGCAAAGACGAAATCACTACAACCACCGTCAAGGCAAGGGCAGGCTAATTTGACGATCAATGTGGGCACCCCGGATCATAGCAGCAGGAATTCATCGTTTGTAGCAAAGTCTCCAGCACGAGCGAACGGGAGGGGGGCTACGACGCCTTCCTCATCCTCCAAACGAATGTCAACAATGCCCGGATTGCCTCCATCTTCTTCGCATGCTTCTGGCTTAGGTGCAAGAACGGTGAGTCCAACAGATGCTCGCCGGGCAAAGAGACTGTCAATTCTGCATGGCGTTCCTCCTATGCCGAACACTCCACCGCAGCCGCAGCCGGAAGTAAATACTGTTCGAGGCTCTTCCAGATCCCCATCGATGTTGCCAAGAAAGATTTCAACGCCATTGTCTGCGCGAACCACGCCCGACCTTACCCGTAAGTCTTACGGCTCCGGCCTATCTATTGGGTCAACTGCGGGCTATAACACATCTCAAACCTCTACAGGTTCACTCCAACCACGATTATCACACCAACCCTCATCCTCACGTTTACCTACGCCCAAACCTAGAAGTCTGAATAGCTCCGCGGGAAATAATGATGATGAGGAGGTACCGCCTGTCCCAGCGATTCCAAAAGCGTACGAATCGCCAAAGGATACGCCTGTCGATCAGCCTTTCTTCATCCATAAACGAAAGTCTAATATGGGATTCGATACTAGTAGTATAAATAGCACATCCACAACGAGCTTATCAGGACGAGGCTCTCTCCGGGAACCCCTCAAGAATGACAAACAAACAAAAACTCGAAGTTATGTACCGACCACGTCGTCTTCAGAGATGGATCACAGCAAAACAACTCCGGTCAATAACAACAAGAAGAAGAATTTGAAGCCTTTGAGACTTCCACCTATGAACCTAATGCCGTTGAGCAATCCCACCGCGGCCAAGGTTGCGGCACTTCAACAACACGAACCTGTTATGGATGGGAATATTACTCCCCCACATCGAGTCAACACCAAAACGCCAAGTAGCCCTATGACAGCTTCGAAAGCTTCTTTCTTCTCTAGGAACCGCCATGAGGATAAGACTGAACCAAATCTTTCCCACATGAGGAGTAGCAGCTCAATCCAACGTTTTCAATTGCGGTCGGGGTCTGCTCAGATGAGCGGCAGTGGCTCTGAGACAGCATCGAGGCCAATCCCTATGAAGAGCAACAACAATAGACAGCAGAGGAATACCGTTTCTCCATTTATATCGTCATCTCTACCAAAAAACAATAGCGAGCATTCTTTCATGCCACGTTCGAAGACAAGTGGAGATTTTAGCCACCATGCTAATGCCACTGAAGCCATTCGCCCTCCTCGCCTGACCGGCCCTCGGGCTCCCAAAGCAGCTCCCAGAACCATCAAGACTGATACTCCACCTCAGGCCCCAAATTCAGAGGATCCTACGACCCCATCTTCTGGGAATTCTTTGCGTCGGAAGTTGAGCCTAGGGTGGAAAAGAAGTACGTCCAAAGGCAACAACATCATCTCTCATGCTGCAAGCGAACGTGCTGAGCACGCTCCCCCTCCCCCAAAACATGATAATATGCCCCCTCCGCGCCTCCCGGCATCAGCAACAGTGAACAACCTGAATAGTTACTCTGTTCCCAGCCCCAGCCCATCCGTAAAATCCACTACATATCTGGATTCCAAGCGTAGGAAAAGTTCGGCGTCAAGCCTAAGTGTTTTTGGTGGCCACGATAGGACGAAGAGCGATAGCTGGGGAGTTAATGGCAGTCCAAAGAAGGAGGCTCCAGATGCTCGAGCCGAGAAGCCTGCAACAGGGGCACGTACAACGTCATCTGTTATGCACAAAATGCTGAGTTCAAAGTCGTCGACCAACACCATGAAAGCAACAGATCGTTGGACGGCTGATTTGGACAAAGATGACTTGATCGCAGAGGAATATATGAAAAAGCTTGCTTCGAAGAGAAAGGAAACCGAACAAGCTGCCAAGGTTCTGGATGCACTCAGGAAGCGCGCCACACCCAAGGAGCGTGTCTCTGCCCATCACGCACTTCAAATCGCCAACCTAAACATCTACGAACGTGGAGAAATTGTGGATTTCAAAGAAGTCTACTTCTGTGGAACGCAACATGCTGCTAAGCACGTTGGTGATCTCACTACTGATGGGGCAAATTTTGGCTACGATGATGAGCGTGGTGACTACAGCATTGTGCCTGGAGATCATCTTTCGTACCGATACGAGATCATTGACGTTCTTGGAAAAGGTAGTTTCGGACAGGTTGTACGATGTATTGACCATAAGACCGGTGTTTTGGTCGCAATCAAGATAATTCGCAACAAGAAGAGATTTCACCAGCAGGCTTTGGTAGAGGTTAACATCCTTCAAAAGCTTCGCGAATGGGTATGCATACCGGACATGAATTCAACAGGACAAGCTAACAGTACTAGGATCCTCATAATAAGCACAGCATGGTCAACTTCACCCAAAGTTTCTACTTTCGTGGACATCTTTGCATTTCTACCGAACTCCTCGATATGAATTTGTACGAGTTCATCAAGTCGAACCAATTCCGTGGCTTTCACCTGGAAGTCGTCCGACGATTTACCAAGCAAATGCTTAGCAGCTTGTTATTACTAAAATCGAAAAAAGTCATTCATTGTGATCTCAAACCGGAAAATATTCTATTGGCCCACCCAATGCATTCTGAGATCAAGGTCATCGATTTTGGATCTAGCTGTTTCGAAAACGAGAGGGTATATACATATATCCAATCACGTTTCTATCGATCACCAGAGGTTATTCTTGGTATGACCTATGGTATGCCCATCGACATGTGGAGTCTGGGGTGCATATTGGCAGAGCTTTTCACCGGCGTTCCAATATTTCCAGGAGAGAACGAGCAAGAGCAACTTGCCTGTATTATGGAGGTATTTGGACCTCCAGAGAAACATTTGATTGAGAAAAGCACCCGGAGGAAGCTTTTCTTTGATTCACTTGGCAAGCCGCGTCTTACGGTTTCATCAAAAGGACGCCGTCGAAGGCCGTCATCCAAAACTCTTTCACAAGTTTTGAAGACTGATGATGAAGCGTTTCTTGATTTTCTGGCCCGCTGCCTGAGGTGGGATCCTGATCGAAGAATGAAACCAGATGAAGCTGTTAGGCATGAATTCATTACGGGAAAGAAGGCTCCTCCAGCTTCCCGTACAGTTGTGCGGAACGATTCGCCCATGAAACGGCACAATATCGTCGCAACACCTGCTGGTAGTAATCGGCCTCTTCCAGAGCCACCCGTTACGTGTTTTAAGAATGGCGCAGCTGTCAGGAACCGAGAGGCTTCAGGCACAAGCCCAAGCAAGAGCATAGCAGCTACTGCGCATGCCCGCCGGATATCAAATGCGGTTGGAACTAACAACACAGTCAGCTCCATCGGCAGCAAACGTACCAGTACCGGGACCGTTTTATCATCTGGCAGCAGTCTTCCACGGGTGACGAGGATCGTGAGCGCCAAACAAGATCTCGCCTCGGCTGGCGCATCAGCAGCGATGAGTCGAAGAGTATGAGAGGATGAAGGGGATGGGATGTAATAATGAACGAGAAAAACGCCACAGACATGGTACATACACGAAAAAGATAATTTCAATTGGGTTGCTTTCTCTTTTATGGGCGTGAATTGAATGAATCATAGATATGGGGTAGGGTGGGGGTCATTAATTCTTTTCCGTCAGTCTTTTCCTTGCGTTTTGTGCATAGTTTGCGGGGCGTTAATTTACGTTTTGGCTTCGCTGTTTTTGTTTTTTAAGCTACTTGTTTTTTCTTGTTAAGACTATCATACCCCTTATTGTTTCACTAAAGCGAGTGTGGATGGGCAAAAATAACATAAATGGGAAAGGGCAGCGAGCGCATCGTTGGGGGGGTTTTGTGGGAATTGATTTTTTCTTAACTCTCCTCTACTTACTTTCTTTCCAGGAACGCAGGTGAGGAGGTTAGCGTTTCTTTTATATATCTTATACAGTATTGTGGTTTCTGGCTGGCTGGCTGCAGAGCGGTTGGCTTGCTGTTACATTGACTCAAGAAGAGTGAGTGGTATGAGGAGCGATGGGGGTGTGGGAGATAGAATGGGCTTGCTTGCATGATGAGGGTGTTCTTTTTTTTTGTTGCCGGGCGCTGTTGTCGGCAATGGGATGATGGATGATCAATGATGGGCTTTGAAGAACGGGAGACTAAATATTTCTTGTACTGTACCTAGCTAGCTTGAGAAATACTTTTCTACGGCTGGGTTTGGGAGGGGGTAGAGTGGTGCGTTCGTTGTTGGGTTATTAGATGTATACAGAGTGTTGAAGCCTGATGACTTTGTGATTTTGTGATTTTGTGATTTTGATATTGATTCTGAGTGAGTGAGTGAGTGATATACTCGTATGGTTGGGAGTATGTAGTGTGTGTTGTGTGTTGTGACTATGTGGATACGAGGTACCTAGGTATTGATGATCCCTTGATCTGCACGTATTCACCGGAGGTTATACGGAGGAAGAGAGGTGGGCATTTCTCTGTACACGCTATCAAGTCATTATACTAAAAGTCTGGTATAAGTAAATCAATTGTCCTGTTTCACCTAGGTTAATCAGGAGTCAAAAGGATTAATTATTCTAAACTATTCGTATAATTGACTCAATTATATAAGGTCTTTAGGATAGTATTTTTATCACTCAGGTGTGTATCTTACAGAGTAATGCTCGTCTCTTTTACGCACGTATTCCAACCCATTGGCGTTAGCTGAGCTTGCACTTGTAGATCTTACTGTAAGGTACTTCTATATTACTATGGGCCTATGACTTCTGAATGATTCCCACCCGACTCTTGTGATGCTTAGCAGCTACTGTAGCCGAGTGCTTGGTGATGGTGGGATTGTGACTTGACTTCTACGTATCTAATACGGAATACCGTACGCGGAACGAATCACAGTAAGGGATTGGATTCGTTGCATGTGACGTATTGTGCGTATACGAGGATACGACGGATTAGATACACTTCGTAATTTACTTCCATACCTGGCTCCGTCTAGGTACTCACTCCAGGGACCAGGACAGAGTGGTAAGGCGAGAGGTAAGAAATTGCTGTGGTTTTTGTTGGGGGGAAGTTTGGGGTGGTCTCCTAGGTTATTCTGGGATGAATTGGGATTATTACTTTGGAGGTTGAGATGGTTGAGATGTTGGGGTGGTTCCTTGATTGGGTAGCCTCTTTGGATTGTTTGGGAGGAGAGCTGTAGCTCTTTAGTACGGAGCTTCCCGGTGGATAAGAAAAGTGGTAGAAACTTCTTTTATCTTGTCCTAACTTAGAGCATGTTTGGCTCGCGAGTAGGAATAGTGCAAATGTTAGTGTAAATTATAAACTTTTGCACTAGTCCTAGGACCTAAGGGCTTATGCAAAAGTTTCCTGATTTATATATAATTTATACTATTCTAACGAAACATATACACCACTGTTTAGCTTGCTGCAAAGGTTTTTTTTACTTCGTTAGAAATCCGTTGATACATATGTATTACTAATTTTTAGTCTACTACTACGATTTAGTTAGTCTACTACTATAAATTAGTTAGCTCTACCTACTAAATCGAATACTTATTTAAAGGATTATCTTCTTCCCTTTTCTTTCTTTCCTTTAACTATATTTAACAAGCAGACGGCAAACTGACCGCTGTATTCGGCGGTTTTGGTCGCAGTTTTCGGGGGTCAACTTGCCAAAATCTCACGCTGCCCTAGCGCTCTCGTGCTAGTTGGCCAAGGCGGCACGACCTCGGCTAACCGCAAGACAGGAACACCTAAAAAAGACAATCGGTTTTCTGCTTCTCGTTCCTATTCCAACTTCGTCAGAAGCCTTTTTAGGGAGCAGAAAATGGATGCCCTTCATCCCCTGGTGACTCAGAATGGCGACGCTTATATTGATCGCCTACTCTTCCCCTTCTTCTCTATCATTCTCTATCATTCTCTATCCTTTCCTATTATTCTTCATTTCCCCTCTGAACCTCTTAAATCCATTACCTCTCGCGTTATCTTGTCTCTTGCCCTCTTCGATGCTGTTAGGTGCGCGGTAGGGCTCCTCCTTATAACATCGAACCCTCTTCTCCTCGCTGTCATCGTCGCCCTCGTCTTTCCCGGGTTAAGTCGATATGCGGCGTCGCCAACCGTCACCGGACGCTTCCTCAGACAGCGAGAGCTGCTTCGATACAGAGGATGAACACAAGGAAACCGACGACGACACCGAGCCGACTGATATTGATTCCGATGTTGAAGGATGCGACGAAGCAGATCTAGCGTGGATCGCAGGAGAGGACAACGCTCAACCGCCGGAATACTACCTCGATCAAGAGAATGATTCCGCCGAATCCGACGATGAAGATGAGGACTATAGCGATAATAGTATCCTTCTCCTTGACATGATCGAGTCACAATTTAGTCGGTATCTACTCTATTTTCTTTGTCTACTATCTTCTACTATTAAATCGTTGACCTAACTCTTTGAAGGTACTGTAAATATATACGAAAGAATCCGGCCCAGGTAATGCAGGCTATCTCTCGCCGCACTCTCAAGGCCTTCTTCGATTGGATGTTAAATCAACGGCGAGGGAAGGGAGGGAGGAGGCTTACAGGTATTAAGTCGGCCAATACACTCGGGACATACTGGAAGGTCTTCCGGCTCGTGCACGAAAGGACAATTGGTGAGAAGATCGAGGGTAAAATAAATCGGAATATGCATCGTGTAAGTAGCGCTTCTTGTTCACCTGCTACATCCTGTCCGAAATACCCCAGATCACAGGCTAATAAATATTTACGTCTTTTTATAGGTCCTAAGGAAGCTAGTAAAGAAGTACGGATTGTCTACGGAGAAGCGTGAGAAGACGGCGATGTATATCGAGGATCTTGCAGGCGTCCTCCAGACCAACCTTACAACGACAAGGAAGAAGTATACGCACGGCCGGCACCGTATACAACTCGCCTTCTTCCACCACCTAGCTGCCTTTTCTGGAAACCGACCTTCAGCAGTCCTAAACCTCTGCTACCGTCATATTATTGTAACCCTGCTCCGGGACCCGAAGGGCGGGCCCCATCGGATCTTAATTGAATTCACGTGCGAGTTCACGAAGCAGTATCTCGGCATGAAAGATGCGTAAGTTTCACCTATACCCTTTTTACCTTCCCAAATTCCTTCTAGTTCTACTGCGCAACGTATTGCTTACAAGGAAGCTAGGAATACGTTCCCACTTCCCGAGATTATCTTCGATCCGTCCCTCATCCTCAGTCCACATGTCGCCTTACTAGGCCTCATTCTTGCCGATGAAGCGTTTTTGGCCCCGAATCTCACGTCTGCAGAGAAGATCAGTGGGTTGGATATTCGGCCTGGGTATGAGCAGCTGCCCTTACATTTAAAACCGGAAAAGGCCAACATCCCCATCTTCCGCAAGTCTATTAAGACGCTCTATGGGTGGGAGATCTCGCCGGACCAGAAATTACCATACTCCACGCTTTTGCCGTGGATGAAGAAGCTTGGTGTGCTTACGGGGTTTCCACAGATCACGCGCCCGTACTGTCTCCGATATGGTGCGGGGAATGCATTCAACCAGAATAGTTCGTCGCTTGTCCCCTTCACCCTGTAGAAAGATGTACTAACTGTAGACAAACAGGTGACGTGAGCGATGCGCTCCAGAATATGATGCTACAACACGCTAAGATTGACACCTTTATTAAGCACTACCTCCCACGGCGGGTTACCGCTGATACTAGAGCTATCGTCTCTGGCTATGAACCTCAGCACGACCTAATGCGGGCAGCCTGTCGGATGACTCGATGGATTGATCCTGATCGACCGCAAGAACTCACGCTCAAGCAATCCCTGTCAGTCAATCAAGATCCCTATATCTGCCGCCTTATTGTACAGCGAGAGAAGTGGAAACGCCGCTTCCAGGGCACGGCTACACAACAGCCTGGGTACCAAACCCTTAGCCGCGAGATCTTCAATTCAAGGCAGCGGCAAAGAGTTGTACTTCTAAAGCAGGTTCAAGTTCGGTGGGATCTGGAACACCCGGTTAATGAGATTGAGCTGCAGCTCTCTGGGCTTAAGTTCAACCAGGAAGTGCAGACTACTCTACACCTGGATGAGGAGATGCCCCCGATCCAGAAGCGCTTGGTTAAGACGATAATGACTCTGCCGGGAGCGACCTTGGAGGAAGAGTTTCGCCGGCGCAACGCTGCTATCGATGCGGTCGCTGCCTACTGCAACTTCCAGGAGGGGGGGACTGTTGCCCGACCACGTGGGAAGCCGTCTAAGGAGACCAACCCGCAGCAGGAATCTGCCGAGGCCGAGAAGCAGGCACTAAGTGCCGCTATGTTGTTAGTGTTTACAGAGAAGAGACCAACCATCTGTTTTATATGCTTAGGGGAGGAAAACTTGCCGTTCGAGAAGCGCGTGTATTTATTTGCGAGTCCAGGAGACCTTACTAAGCACTTTAAGCGGAAGCATTTGTCCAACATTAGGGAAGGAGATAGGGTCGGGTGTAATATCTGTCGAATGTCCTTGAAGCACAAAATGCACCTTCAGAGTCACGCAGCGAGGATTCACGGGACGGTTTCTTAATTATCAAGTGGATTTAGAGATTATCACGGAACAACCCCTCTATTTCATAAACTGTACAATTTTATACTACACTTTCTTATCTTTTATATAGTCCACCGGGAAGGGTTAAGGCTGCCAATCATTGAACATAACTGCTTGCTAAGGATTCCTTAAAACTTTTTTAGAGGATATTCAGAGGTATAGAGTATTCGGTTGACTTTTCGACTAAGATATAGTCATTTTTCAAAGTCACAGCTGCTTATTTCTCGTGTTCTCTTCCTTAGTTTGATTTCATAGCATTATTTATTTAGAGGATTGATTATCTTATAAACTAGCATAGAAAATTTCGAGGGGCATGACTGTCTTTCGCTGTGAATTGTACGCGCTAAATACATATAGTCACATGATCTGAGCACATCGAAATTCTATACATAATATAGAGAAATCTGATTTTGTATCCTTTTTTATTCGTATTTTTTAAATGTCCTCCTCACGTGATTACACCCTCCCAAAATGCTCCTGGCCGAGCCGGGCTCCTGAGAGCTATAATCTCCTGAAAACTTTCTCCTAGAAATCTCGAGTTCCTAGGGAAAAGATCTTAGGAGACGTTGTCTCTCAAGAGTCATGACGTCCCAGAATTGTAGTCCCAGGTTCCCTAGGTTCCTAGATTCCCTGTCCTGGGACAATTGTCCTGGGAACCGGGAGATCCTGAGCGCTGATAGTGATCAGGAGGAGGCTCCTGGGAACCCGCAGCTCCTAGGACAGTATCACGCCTAGGACGAAGCTTCTAGGATAGTATCACGCCCAGGACGAAGCTTCTAGGTTGTTTGACCTAGATAGTCTGTCCTAGATACTCATTTGTCCTAGGACAAACGTGCTAGGACAGATTCAGGTCTAGGGCCGTTTACCTAACACACTAACCACTCTAGGATTTGTCTAAACACAGGATAGGTTATACATCTTTGCTTTGTCGCCAAGGCATACTTATCTTGGCATATGCTTATTTCAGCGCCTACTTTAGCAGCCAACACTTACACGTGAGAAGATCCTAGTTCCAAGGAGAAAATGGCTCCCCGACCCACACTCAAAGGAGCTAGTAGCATGCAGGAGACAGCACCGAGGAGCCAGCAGCTCCTTAACTCAACACGCTCCTCGTTTCTTTCTCCTAGTTGGGCACCGCTCCTGGCTGATGGCTCCCCGATGCTATACGCTCCGAGAAATGAGCTCCCGGGTACTCATGTCTCCTGTGAGCTATGTCCTCCATGTAGTCTCGCACGAATCACGTGTACATTTTTCAGGCCTGACAGAGGCGCCTCCAAAAGTTGATGGCGTCACCCTTCGCTATAATTAGCAATTATTTCTCTGAGGTGCTATGCTCTTCCACACCTTATCTTTAGGCAGACTATTTCTTTTAGAAGAAATCTTTTAAAAGAAAATGGCTTCCACATGCCCCTATCGTCTTAACGAATTCTTTTAAGCTGTCTCCTCTTTCCACACATTTCTTTTCATACTATGCCTCTTCTAAACATAAAATTCTTCCCAAAGAAGGCTTCTTTTCATACTATGTATCTTTTAAACACAAACTTCTTCCCAAAGAAGGCTTCTTTTCATACTACGCATCTTCTAAACACAAACTTCTTTCCACACATTTCTTCTCATACTTTGCCTCTTTCCACACATTTCTTCTCATACTATACATCTTCTAAACACAAACTTCTTCCCAAAGAAGGCTTCTAACATATCACCGCTTTTAGCATTCTAAATAATGAAATAATAGATCCGATCCTAAAATAGACAGCATTCGCGACTTTCCTAGAGGTGGGTTAATGCCATCAACTTTTGGTGGGGTTGACCCTTTTGGTGGGGTTGACCACCACGGGGATCCAAGCTCCCATTTGAAGATTGACTAATACACAAAATTAGACTGAACTTGATCGTACCACCTAATTTCGATTTCAACCTCAACTTTGACAACGTCGCGAGAAACTCATCAACATCTTCAACAGAGACTTTATACAACATTGTCGATCTCCTCGTGCCCTGGGATGTTAAAGATTTGTCCCGTGCAAGTAAACGACTGGGAGAAGCATGCTTGCCAACCTTCTTCCGATGCGTCAAGTTCTAATTTTCGGAGGCCGGATTCGACAGACTCTAAAAACTCATGGAGTCAGCTGCTCGCTACCATGTCGTCTCCTTTACTTACGAATTCCTAGAACTGCTGAAAACTGGTAACTGTAAGGGTATAGATGGGGGAGAAGCGATATGGCCCGTGCTCAAGGAACTGTAAATAGCCTCAGATCTTACGATCACTTCCACTCTTTGTAGACAATTTAGTTCTTACGCATACGAATTGACCTTGTCGTTCTCGCACCCTTACAGTAATTATGTTTCTGATATTCTCGAGTATGTACCTTGATTTATTATCTAGGACTTTCAACCTAGCCCCTGGACAATCTTAGGATTCCATCATTTATAGGAGGGAATCTGCCGTGGGACATAAATTGTAGGGCAAGCCTCCTCTGACCGAGGCCGTCCTAAGCAGCTGTTTGACCTAGATAGTCTGTCTTAGATACCCATTTATCCTAGGACAAATGTGCTAGGACAGATTCAGGTGTGGGGCCGCTTACCTAGCACTCTGACTACTCTAGAACTTGTCTGAACATAGGATAGGTGTCCTATCTGATCTTTAGTCATAAGATAATTGTGTCAGGGAATCATACTTCGGGATTTCAAATAACAGGCATCGCTCAGAGGCTTCAGGCAATGCTGCGTCAGCTCCATTAGATACAGAGTCTTGAAACTACTTCGTATAGTAATTGTACGTAATTATCACACCACGATCTATAGTATCGATGATTGCAAAGTTGGACCATTGGGTTCTATGAGGCGGAGCGCTTCTCCGGCACCTCTTAGGTCTTACACTGATTTCACGTCACTTGTGTTGCCACCTCGCGGGGTATTGCGCAGTCTGGTATTGCGTAATGAATATCTTGAATAGGCACTAATAGAATAAACATGTCTAAGATAGGAATGGCCAAACTAGGTCCTGCCGTATTAAGCGCACGCCTAAATCAACCTCAACTCCCCTATTTAAGTTTTTGACAAAATGGCTTTCAGACAATCAAACTTCGCCAAGAGCGCCGTATCCCTCAAATCAATTCAAGCATATGCTTATTTAAGTGATACACTAATTTGTGAAATCGAAATCACGACGATCATAGCGGAATGAGCTCGGCAAATTGATTAGCCTTGGCTTCCTTCCGCTTTGATTTCGCTTAATTAATCCTCCTACCACAGAGTAAGCGAAGCTTAAATAGGAGCATTAGCGAATTTCCGATAAAGGTAAACCTATAAAAGTAGAACTCTAAATTAAGAAGCCTAAAAAAAAGCTTGCGCTAAAGTAAGTAATCCTCACCCTCTTTTAAAGGTTGAATTTCAAGCACTAGAATTATAGTGTAGGCAAAGTGATAAGCAGCCTAAAGAAGCTAACGTCAAAATACGTGATTCTCAATTTCTTTGGAGGAGTTTAATTTCAAGTACTAAACTACACGTAGTTAAGTGTGGCTGCACGTGGTGGAGTAGAAAACACATGCCTCGTAACTACTAGAGAGTTGTTGCCACCTCCGAGTACAAAACAGCAACATTAGATTTTTTAAGACAACTAGCACCTTTCGTCGCTAGAAGTACAATTTATGTAGATGTAAAAATGTTTTAGTTGTATAATTATTTTAGAAGTATAATTATTTTAGAAGTATAATTATTTTAGAAGTACAATTATTTTAGAAGTACAATTGTTTTAGACGAATAACTAACTTACTTTAGATATACTCTTATATTACTTGCTAATTTCTAAGTGTTAGTACAATATTAGTTTAGTATACACGTGACGAGTCTATATATATAGATGTTTGCTTTCGAGCATCTATCTAAAAAACAAGACAACAACATAAATGAATAAGCCTCTCTTTACAGACGTCTGATTATACGATATGTATATTACACCTAGTAATACCGACACTAGTTAAGTATTTAATAATTACATTAGGTCACCACCTTACCATCTCGCTTAAATTTAATCATGATTTTAGTGGGTCGTATTTTCTAATGGCTAGATTAATTATTAATAGTTAAGAGAGTAATGATTAACTAAGCCCTGGTCTGTTTTAGTCACGACAAGGGACTACTAGAATAACGTCTATCTATACGTAACGAGAAACCACTCGTGCTAAGAAATTTTATAGATACTTTACCTTTAAAGTAAAAAAAAGCTAAATAAACATAGGCGACTCGTATATATTTATACTAGCTATATTCTATAGTTAATTCTAAACATATTAAGACCCTTTACTAAGAAAAATAATAATATAAGCTTTTCTTAGCTTAATTTATAGTAGACTTTCGCTTAAAGTCTATAATATAGTTCCTTTTTTAAACCTTCACTCTGTAACGAATACTCAAACTGGCTAACTAAACTTGGCTGGGTGTTCGCTGGTTGGTATGCTATGATAAGAAGAAGACTATCGGGTTGTTCACTTGGAAGTGAACTCGTTACTTGTATCAAAGATGTCAAACTAATATGATAAGATTGATAACTAAGTTGAGCACGAAGCTCCTATCTAATGGCAGACGTGCCAGTCTTATATAGAACCTTCGTTCTCTGTGGTCGCCATGGTCGACTGTTCGACCATGGCCGACATGGTCGACTCGTCGGCCATGTCGCTCGTTTCCATCACGTGATAACTAACCAAGAGAAATCCCTGGATCGCTTAGCTAGTCTAAGCGTCCCTATTCGCTATAAGAGTCCATGATAATGTTTAACCTGTCAGGACGCCGCCTGGCCTTCACTCGTCACCTGCTAGCACGTGATTCGTGACACACTCTAGTACTTCTCTTACTTCTACTTTCTATATAGGATGTTATCTAATTTATATATATTAAATACTATATCTAAAATTATTTTCAAGCCTTATAGCGGCTATACCTTAAAGATTTATCTAAACTTGCTACATAGATTAGTACTTTTGCCGAGGTAGCGAACCGTTTTTGGAATAGTGTGCTGAAAGCTACACCTCTAAATATCGAGGTAAATTCGAGATTGGAAAACCGACACGTGACTCTGATTTATAGTCGCTTGTAAAATTAGCTTTGCGTCGCTTCGCTTCGAAGTTCTAAGTACTAACTATCTCGCTATTTTTGGCTGACTGTAAATGGTTGCTGTATGATATGTAATGTGTATCGCGTGACTTATAACGTAGATGAAGTTTTTCACCTAATACTCAAATGGCCATTTCATTTATCACTACACGTCGCGTAACTGATTGATTACGTAGATGATATTGCTAGCCACGAGCTTATACTAGAAGGTTCTAGAAGCAAATGACAGCCATTGAATTACTATAAATTATTAGGCTCCCCTAGAACCCTCGATGGAAGAGAGGAAAAAAGAAAAAGAGATATTATATTACAAGCTTAAGTCGTTGTTCAAACTGAAGAACTAACAATCCTCCTGACGAAAGTCCTAACGCAATAATTCCACCCCATGCAGCTTGACAAGTAGGTCTATAACCAGTAGGTAGCCAGAGAAGATTAGTAGTGCCATCTGCTAGCCAGTTTTGAGAAACGTGTAAGGTTGGGATCTGCTTGCCGTCAGGGGAGAAGGCGACTGAGCTGACCCGAGTAGTATAGCCCTCGAGGGCTGGCAGTAGCTGCTGTCCCGTGGCTGTATCCCAGCGCCGGACGGTCTTGTCGTTAGACCCAGACACGATCTGTTTGCCGTCAGGGGAGAAGGCGACTGAGGCGACTGCATCAGTATGGCCCTCGAGGGCTGGCAGTAGCTGCTGTCCCGTGGCTGCATCCCAGCGCCGGACGGTCTGGTCCCTAGACCCAGACACGATCTGCTTGCCGTCAGGGGAGAAGGCGACTGAGGTGACTGCATCAGTATGGCCCTCGAGGGCTGGCAGTAGCTGCTGTCCCGTGGCTGCATCCCAGCGCCGGACGGTCTGGTCCCTAGACCCAGACACGATCTGCTTGCCGTCAGGGGAGAAGGCGACTGAGGTGACTATATCAGTATGGCCCTCGAGGGCTGGCAGTAGCTGCTGTCCCGTGGCTGCATCCCAGCGCCGGACGGTCTGGTCCCTAGACCCAGACACGATCTGCTTGCCGTCAGGGGAGAAGGCGACTGAGGTGACTGCATCAGTATGGCCCTCGAGGGCTGGCAGTAGCTGCTGTCCCGTGGCTGCATCCCAGCGCCGGACGGTCTGGTCCCTAGACCCAGACACGATCTGCTTGCCGTCAGGGGAGAAGGCGACTGAGGTGACTGCATCAGTATGGCCCTCGAGGGCTGGCAGTAGCTGCTGTCCCGTGGCTGCATCCCAGCGCCGGACGGTCTGGTCCCTAGACCCAGACACGATCTGCTTGCCGTCAGGGGAGAAGGCGACTGAGGTGACTGCATCAGTATGGCCCTCGAGGGCTGGCAGTAGCTGCTGTCCCGTGGCTGCATCCCAGCGCCGGACGGTCTGGTCCCTAGACCCAGACACGATCTGCTTGCCGTCAGGGGAGAAGGCGACTGAGGTGACTGCATCAGTATGGCCCTCGAGGGCTGGCAGTAGCTGCTGTCCCGTGGCTGCATCCCAGCGCCGGACGGTCTGGTCCCTAGACCCAGACACGATCTGCTTGCCGTCAGGGGAGAAGGCGACTGAGGTGACTGCATCAGTATGGCCCTCGAGGGCTGGCAGTAGCTGCTGTCCCGTGGCTGCATCCCAGCGCCGGACGGTGTGGTCCCAAGACCCAGACACGATCTGCTTGCCGTCAGGGGAGAAGGCGACTGAGGTGACTATATCAGTATGGCCCTCGAGGGCTTGTAGCATTGCATTCCAGTACATTTCGACCCTAGGCTTCTTCTGGATCCAAGGTGGAATATAGCTTTCGAACGCTTCTCGAACAACACTCTTCTCTGGTGCGAAAACAAGAGCTGAACAATACGCTTGAAGAGGCGCTTGTTCAATAATTGATCGGGTGGATACGGAAAAGCGCCTAGCATCGTGTATAAACGCAAGTAAGTTAGGGCTTCCATTGAACTTGTTTGTGTTAGTAGAGTCCTCTCTAAAGGTATCCTTAAAATCGTAATATAACTTACCTTAATCCAGTTCTCGAGCTTCATTATCATCATAATACTATCTGGCAAGCTTTTCATCAAGCTGAGCCCCTCAAGCCAGAACATATAACTCTTTTTTAAAAACTGATGAACGGAGCCACCATCTATAAGATCATTAGTAGTATGTCCCCTATCACAGTCAAGTAGATGGTCAACCCAATAGAGACAGGAGTATTGCGCTGCTGCGAGTGGATCTGGAACTGGCTGCTCGACCATTTCAATCTGGAATCCAGGGTCGCGCAATTCGTATATGTCGCGTCGAAGCGTTTTAGACATAATCTCGAGTGATTTTGAGAACATGGTATAGATTATATCTACCTTTCCAGATGGAAATACTCTATCAAATGCCCTTTCAAGCAAGAAGTCCTTTGCCGACTGATGGATAAAATACGTCCGATTCTCTCGTACAGTGAGAAACGAGCCGCATTTATTGACAACCTTCACGACTTTATCGAGATTGGTAGATATTTTCTCAGGCAGATTAGAAAGGGCCCCTACCTCGAGTAGGTGGAGTGGGCGGTACGCAAGCGTTATAGTAGAAAGGACGAGACGGCAGAACACTGGATCTCTGCGTTGTAGCTGTTCAACCTGACATAGCATCCGATCATAGAGTGGTTCTAGCTCCGGCGGCATGTCCTGAAGCACATCGAGCACGTCCCAGCTCTCTACGGGCTCAAGCTCCTTTAAGACAAGAGCTGCCCAAAGAAATGTCCCATTAGCCTTATCGTATATCTGACCTCGAATTGTCTCCTGTAGCTCGCCGTCGTCCTCAATAAGTCGCAGTTTAGAAACCTTGAAATCGATAAACAACTGGACAGCGCGAGAGACATGCTCCTTGTTAAGCTCAAGGCTAAGCCTCGTCTGCGTATGATCAAGTCTCAGCCGCGCCTCAATGTTAGGTTCGTTGCGGCTTGATACAATCCATTTCACGCGAGTGGATGTTGAGGCAGTTCGACTAATTAGATCCAAAAGCTGGTCAAGATTTGCTTTACATTCATCGAGCGCATCGATGATCAAATAGATGCTCGTCAAGCTTGGGTCTTGTAGAATGCTAGTGAAGATTTCGGATAATGCAACCCATGCGTTTGGATCTTCAAAAAGGGCCTTGCCAGCGTGGTCGTACTTTTTCCGCACATACGAGATGAGCAATGGTTGCTGGTCGATGAGTAGGTAGATAAGACCGCGGAGCGCGGCTGACGCATTATTAATGCGGCCATCGGTAGCCTGGCAGAAGAAGTACGACAATAGTGTGGTTGCCGCTTTGTCTCTTAGCTTCGTCGAAGGGCTCAATTCATCGAGGATGCCGCTAATAAGCATCGTCTTACCTTTACCAGGGTCACCCTTGACCCAGAGTAGCCGGCTCTGTGTATCGTCGCGCCATTGCTGGAAATCGGGATGTTCAAGGATCCATTGGTAAGAGTCTCGCAGTAGCCCGCCCTTCGTGTCTTCAATCCGCTTCTTATCCTCCCGGGGATCTGTTATCCGCAGGTCTTGTATACAACTTTGGCTTTCAGGGTCAAGTGGATTCTGCTCGTCTCCTTTTAAAAAGTGATTAGTAGATAGCTAATAATGAAGCGATTTATTAGGTATTCACCTGTCTGCAATTTCTGGATCTTCTTCTTTAGCCGTCTCAACGCATTTTCCTTTCCTTCGCTGTAGATGAGCGACATATTGACATCAAAAATGCCAAGTAGTGAGTATGCTTTGTCTTCCTGGCGAAAAGTCTCACGACTTGCTGCCCACGATAATCGCTCATCAACGCTGAAATCAGACAAAGGGCTCCCTCGAAGAGCCCTGGCTGGAATGCCTGTTGCCTCGCAGATGTATCGTTCTAAGGAGGCCTTATTTCCTTATAGCTCTCCTTCTTTAGAGAAGAAGTCGACTGATGCCGGCGCAATAAGCTCTTGCAGAGTCCAGCCTCGTTTAAACCATTCGCTTGCTCGCAAAGCAGATTCCCAAGTATACTCGGCAGACGTATCGCTTGCTTTCCGCTTTCGTATCGAAACATCAGACAAATAGACATAGCATCTAGTCGCTTTCTGGTACCAGCGAAACATCGAGTTGATAGCTTCCTGAAGCTCGACAGCATTGGATTTATCGATACAGCAGGTGTCCACCCAAAAGTATTGTAAGCCGTCACGTCTTGCCTGTTCTCCGCAGAACTGTATCTTGCCGTGCCCAGCCTTGCCTTTGCTCGTACCGTCTGTTAGATCCTTGAAAGTGGCCTCCTCTGCTCCCCATCTGTGTGAAAGTATAGCATACTTCTTGGGTATGTCGCCTTCAAAGAACTCGGCCAGGCTGAACCCGCCATCGGTATTGTAGTGTAGCAGACGCATTGTTCGACTAGGTTCGAGGATCGTGAAGTGGAGGGTTCTCGGTAGTAGCTGAGCCGTCGAAGTGGCATATATGCGAAGGGTGAAGAATTTATGTTTGGTTGAGGCTGGCGCACTCAGCTGAGCGGCAGCCATGCGGTAAAAGCATCGTCGTACATCACTGGAAGCGCGCAAGACTAGCCAGTAGCTCAGGCTGGAATTCTAGATGCCATAGGCATATCAGATTCAAAGCCAATTTCGTTTTAGCATGGTTTGTTTCTGTCATTGTAAAGGAAGCTGAAGAAATAGAGAGTAAGCAATAAAAGTAGAGATCTAGGATCCTGAATTTACCTTCGATCTTTGGGGTTCGATTCTATAGCCTTGAATCTCAGGCAATAGGCTACTGCGTGCGGGGCTGTTCTCCACAAAGATCGTCACTTGCTTCGATCAGAGGTACCGAATCGCGTAGCTGCCAGACTAGTGGCCAGATGTAATACAGCACATGGAGGCGGCCCGTTCCGGCAACAGCCAAAAATGGCCGAGGTGGTCTGTCTGTGCTCACAATATTTTCTGAGCGAGACGACGCGAAGCCAATTTTGCAAGTTACTGTAGAAGAGAATGTGATGACAGGCTTGTCAACCTGAACTGTGTCCGTCCTCTTGAATTGGATGTTAGCCAGAAAAGGCTCCACTGACACTCGCCTGAAAATTAGGGCTGTAAATCAGAGTCACGTGTTAGGCTTCTAATTTCGAAATTACCCAGATATTCAAATGTGTAGCTGTTAGCACGCTATTCTAAAAACGGTCTACCACCTCGGCAAAAGTACTAATCTACGTAGCGAGTTCAGATAAATCTATATAGTATAGCCGCCACAAGGCTTGAAAATGATTTTAGGCATAGTATTAGATATATATAATTTAAGTAACACCTCTATAGAAAGTAGAAGTGAGATAATTACTAGGGTGGAGGAGGGCTAGTAAAGCTGACATATAGTAGGGCGTCTTAAAACAACACACTTTCCTACTAGCTAGAAGTTTCCTTACGGTTTTTACTATAGGATGTTTCTTCTATAGTAGTCGTAAATATAAGGTAGGCCTCTTAAGATAGAGTTCCTCTAGTAAGATTAAAAGGCTTGAATTACTTCCCTTACTCTATAAGAGTAAACGGCATTTATATATATACAACTTTACAATAGCTATTACTATATCTATTTACTAAAAATCACTTTCCTATTAGTATACTCGAATACCGATATCTCTTAAGTAGCTTAATATAACAGATATTACCGTACCTATTAACCGTATCTATTAAAGTTAACCTTCTATTCTTTACCGCTATCTTATTCTATATATATACGTTTCCTACTCGTGTTTTTGTTACTAGTATTTAAAGTTGCCTTATTAAGTATACTTTTTAACCTATCCTTTAGCTATTCGTTGAATCAAGTGAGATGTTATAATCTAAAGAAGAGGAGATCGCTTAAGAAGATATAAGAGGTAAGAGTCGACAATGTTAATAATAACGCTATTCTAGTGAAGTCACGTGTATAGTATTACGAGAGGCATTTCATAAAATTCGTAAGCCTAGTAGAAATTTACAAGTGTTATAGAAGATAGATATAGGTGTTTAGAGAGATTTTATAAATAGAGTAAGACTAGTAGATTTCTACTAGTAGATTTTTACTAGTCTTTACTTTTTTCGAAAACCTGTTATATATCCTCTGACTAGTAGATTTCTACTAGTAGATTTTTACTAGTCTTTACCTTTTTCGAAAATCTGTTTCGAAAACTCGTCGGATATTCCTTGACTAGTAGATTTCTACTAGCCTCCTAGGATTTATAAAAACCCCCGCGGTAAGAGGCGATACTAGTAGAACTAGACTAGTAGATTTCTACTAGCCTCTAAGATTTTACAAAAACTCTAGGAAAGAGGCGAGACTAGTAGATTTCTACTAGGCTCGAAAGTTTCTAGTAATCCCTCCTTATGTGAACTAGTAGATTTCTACTAGGCTTCTACATTTCTTTTTTCAAATCTACCTGACCGCCCTGGTTTATTCGCTCTAGACAAGCTTCTAAGAGTTGCTAGAAGATTTTTCAAGAGCTTTTCTAAATGAGCTTTCATTTCTAGACATCTTACTTTATATTACCGAGAGCATAGAAAATAGGGTGATTTCCTGAAATCTAGGGCAGTTGGCGGTTAGCAGAGTCTAGTAGAAAATTACCAGTGCTATAAATTCATAAAACGATTTCACGAAATATTTTCCGAGGTCTTTCTGTTTCTGTGCACCTTCCGCCCCCTGTCTTTTAGCCCCTGCTCGGTCATCATTCGACTGCGCTTAGCAGACGGTGATGGTGAACAAAATTTAGCTCCCTAACGTGGGCGCTTAAGGGCGGTTAGATTAAAATAGAAATGATAGAGAGCAAGGTCGCTTACCCACTCTCGGTTTCTAGCCTGTCTAACTGTATAGAAAAAAATGTATATAAAAGGAGTAATATCATTCTAAAAGTGCTTTAATCTCCTGAGTTAATTATGGCCAGCAATCCTAAAAGAAAAAGCGAGAGGTTGAGTAGACGAAAAGAAACCTTGATTAAGAAAGCATACGAGATGGCATTCTTCTGCGACGTTGACGTAGCACTAGTCTTACGTATTCGTAAAACAGGCAAGCTTATCACGTACAACTCCATCGATATTGAGTCGTGGCCACCTTCAAAGGAGCAAATCGTAAGTGTATAATTATCTATTATAGTTGCATATACTAAAAGATTGCCAGAAATCTCATTACCCGCTCCCGGTCAACCTGCGATCACAAGATATTGAAGCCAAGTATAGAAAGCCTTTAATAAAAACTTCAAAGCTTGCAGGTAGAAGAAGGAGAACTAGTAAAGCACCTGACAGGAACGAAGAGGTGCTTGGTGTTACGGAGTTGGAGGAACTAGGGGTAGGGAAAGATCACGTGTATTAAAGCTTCCGTTCCTCTGGAGCTCTCTTCTTGTGACGATTCTCAAACTAACTAAGATACGTCGGGTTGGTTGGTCGGCAAAGGAGGTCGGCTATCACGGGGTGTTTACTCGGAGGTAAACTCGTCACTTATACAAAGCTGTCAAGGTAGTGATAACAATGTAATATTGAGTTGAGCACGAAGCTCCTATCTAATGGCAGACGTGCCAGTCTTATATAGAACCCTCGTCCTCCGTTGATCACCCTGATCACCCTGATCACTCTGATCTAGCTCAGCGTTGCTCAGTTGATCATCACTGATCAATAACAGTCACGTGATTACGTACAAGTGAAATCCTTGGATCGCTTAGCTAGTCTAAGCATCCCTATTTGCTATAAGAGTTTCCTCGATAGTGCTTAACCTGTCAGGACGCCGCCTGGTCTTCACTTATCACCTGACTACACACGTGATTCGTGACACTTCTTTCCTCACTTTGTTATTCGATATAGTAGTATACACTTGACTCTCGTACTCAGCTAGTATTAGTTTACTCCACACGTTTACACTTGAATTTTTAGTAGTCACGTGTATCATCAAACATAGCCAATCAGAATGTATATAAAGACAAAATTTTCGTGCTTATTTGAATGATCATTGGTTGACGACTGTACGCACATTTAATTATAGCATCCAGTGACAATTGAATGTTGATGCAAGGATATGCAAAGGGCGACCCTGCATCGCTGGCCTAAGGCTCCGACGCCGTCGGCTTTAAAGACAGCTTGTGCTACTTAAGACAAATAATCCGCATAGTAAACACCTTTCTTCATAATACCTCAAAATACAGAGACGATGGAGTCGTTCGAAAATCTGAAAGTGAATTCGTGGCTTCAGCATCCCCAGTATACATTCCTGCGATATACCAAAGATTAAGACAAAATTTTCGTGCTTATTTGAATGATCATTGGTTGACGACTGTACGCACATTTAATTATAGCATCCAGTGACAATTGAATGTTGATGCAAGGATATGCAAAGGGCGACCCTGCATCGCTGGCCTAAGGCTCCGACGCCGTCGGCTTTAAAGACAGCTTGTGCTACTTAAGACAAATAATCCGCATAGTAAACACCTTTCTTCATAATACCTCAAAATACAGAGACGATGGAGTCGTTCGAAAATCTGAAAGTGAATTCGTGGCTTCAGCATCCCCAGTATACATTCCTGCGATATACCAAAGATTAACCACAAGCGGAAAAGGGACAACGAGAGCCACCACCACATTGGAGGACGTAGCTTGCAGCAACTGGATTGCCAACTAACGCAGTCTCCCTTGCGATCCCTATCCCGAAACAGCTAGACTTCTATTTTCCCGGGCTACATTATCGGATCGGATCTCATTCGAAAGGCCTCTGAGTGTAAGTGATTTTATTGTATCCTGGACTACACGTTACGTAAAGAATCCAAAAGTCTACCAAAAACGGTATCCAGGTTTCATTGAGCTAATCAGGTGGTGGGTTTTGAATATTTTTGGTTCTTAGGGAAGGGATTCCATTGGCCAGGAAAATCCAAAATTGAAAGTGGGGTCCTGGAAGCGCGGCTTGTTTCAAAGCTAATGGATATTTACGCTTTCTGGAGATGGGATTCCGTAACTACAGGACTTGCTCATAGACTGATTCTATCCAATAGAATCCCTTCCCTAAGAACCAAAAAGATCTAAAACCCACCATCTGATTAGCTTGATAAAAATCCACACTTTTACTAGTTCCTAATTTCTCAGGTCAATAGAGCTATAGAATAGGATAATAATATATGAGAAGGAGATTTAAACAGACTTGAGAAGGGGGGTTGGGCTAGATATAATATACTCAAAGCTGAAATATATAAGAAGCAGATTTAAACAGATCTTGAGAAGAGGGATTTGGTTAGATATATTATACTAAAAGCTGAAACTTCCTATTAGGCTGAGAATGACACAAAAGTGAGTGATTGATTCTAGAAGTAGGAGTGGCTACATGGGCTATATATACGGGGGAAAGGGGTCTGACACGTGATACGCTTCTGCCTAAAACAATGGGGCGTAACACATGTAAATCCAGCACAACACTTCCTTATAAAGTTGTTGAGAGCAAACAGCTTCTGGGCGACGCGAACTTGTCGACATGGGAAAGCTCAGAAGTAGGGCTGCAAAGCTAATGTTAGTGGCTATTTTTGTCTTTCGTCTTCCCACCCCGAATGAGATTTGGGAGTGGCATGGTAACATTACGTACCGGGACGACGAACGAAAAGTGACACAATTAGGCCTTCATCGAGCACGGCCGGCAAGTCTTGAGCTTGCAGTATTTGCACTCGTAGATGTGGTTAAATGGACCGGCGTGACACATTTGGCAAATCCATTGCACCATGGTGGTATCCGACTTGAGCATGATGAAGGAGTGAATGCAATATCCTGGAACGGCCATGGCATTGGTTGGAGAGGGAGCTACTTTGAAGGTATAGCGGAACGCGGTGGATTGAGAGTCTTCGTAGGTGGGACTTGGAAATGGTTAGCAATTTTCCAGATCTGTGAGAGAAGGAGGAGAGATGCGAATCAGTACATACCCCGAGACTCGTCAATAGCAGAGCGCTTGAAGTATGGTGTTTCTTAATCTCTCTCGTTTCTTGTACCTTTTGCTCTATCGTAGAGTACCGCTGAGCGTTGTTCGGCCTTCAAATTCTTCTTATCAAGATAAAGGTGGACAGGTATACAGTAGATAATTACTCTAAACCAGAAAGCAATGAAAATTGAAATAATAGGAGTACGAGGTCAGTTTCTGAAAGCCAAGTGTGTAGGATGGACATGCTTATATATAGACTGTAGACCGTAGACTATTAAATCTAGGGACAAACACTTGAAACTTCATTGGGACAAGAAATCCTATGCTCGTATTTATTTACTAAGTACGAACTCGGCTAACTTGTACAAAATGAGGTAATGGGTGAAGGTGCTACTTTTTGCTTCGCTTACTTGCTTAATTAAATTTACAACACCACTTTCCGGACTCAACTACTACCCTCGGTGTACTTACCTCGCTTCTGGATGTAAATTGGGACAAAACTTAACTAAGCACTCATCTCTCAAGACTACCCACTTCTTTTACTTGCGGATTTTGCTTAATGAATTTTATTTAATCGAGAGTAGGCAAGGCCTCACGGTTGGGGTTAGATGAATCCTTAAGTACACTGCTATGTTATAGATTCTGAGGGTACCATTGAGGAAAAGCAGATAGAGAGGAACAAGAGTAATCTCCAAGTCGCTACATTAACAGACGCAAATCAAATAAGTTATTCATTTGAAACAAAACACCCCTTAATCTGAACCATCCGATTCATCTAATAAAATAACTACTGGAGCCATCCTCTTAGGTAAAGAATAATAAGTACTCTAATTTCTCGAGATAAAAGTCCCCTGCTCGCGCCTCTATCCTACACCTTAGATGATTATCTCAGCGTACTTTCAATTGTATTTTTCTCTATTCTTCTATCATAGACTAAAAAAACAAATTCTAATGAAATGTCAACAATGGTAAAGAAACATATCAAGACCTCATCTATCCCAAAGCTTTGTCGTGTAACTGTAAAACAAGATCTCTACTACTACTTTATTGTCGGCTGGTGTGAGTTCTAGCTTACGGATATGTAACATGGAGGGTACAACAAGTGTATCTACAATGGGAATCACAATCCCCTAAGCAATATGTATTGTCCATGTCGTTTACTGTGTTACACTAAAATAATTGTTAAAAGGGCTCAGGGAAAGGGAGTTACAGAGGCGAAACTTACTTTACAACATGTCCACCAAAAGCACTGTATCAACAAAGTGTCGCCAAAACTAGACCCTAGGAGCTGTTTGTCGATTCTTATTCCATTCTCTTGCCTATCGTTGAGATGGAAGAAAAGGAGAACTGTTTGTGGGCCAAGTGCTTTAAGTTGGTCTCGTAGCTCATCTACAGATGGTGGATTGAAGTCCGACATTATCTAAATTCGATGTTTGGTTGAATACTTTGAGGTAAAATTAGCGAAGAATATAGCAAAGATAGCTTTGTCTTACTAAGTATAGGTAGTGGAGGCAAATGTTCTGATAAATGTGGTCTGTAGACTGCTGGTTTATATAGCGAAATCGAATGCGGACCATAAGTAATAAAGTGCTCGATCTAGAAGAAGGGAATGTATATAATGTCGAAGAATAGCTCTTCTCGAGGAAATGAAGATGTTAATGTTGACTCCAAAGATAGAGCGGACTCCTTTCTTTTATAAACAAAGGACAGAATCGAGCAGTCCAACGGTAGGGCGCTAAGTGATAGGGACTAGGGATGTTTCGGAATTATTTATTCTTACAAGTAATAATCTCCAACGTTGAACAGTCCAGATAAATTTAGAAAGATATGGAGTACATAATAGCCCCGAACTAAAGGCTAAGAAGAGCAATGGGTAAGAAGTCTGAGTCGGCTCCTGAAAGAAAGACGGTGAATATGATGATCCGTGGGAGAATAGGAAATTTAAACATGTTGTTTATGCAAGTAATTATTAGACCTGTTTACGCTAACTAAGAAGAATGAGGTATATTGGAATTATCGAGCGAGAGATTTTCTATAAAGAGGTAGATCCCTAGTTATAATATTATTACTGCGTATTCCTTGATGTATTGTTTTCCTAGCTCATCCCTTTAAATAACTACGTGAAGCGTCTTTCCCGCCCAATTGCAGCACTCAAACTAACTTCATCCTTATCCTTTTCTATTCGGCATCCTTGACCATACTGCTTGCATAGACGCTAATGAGAGCTCGAGTTGTGTCCTCTAAGCCCCACTTCCTGGTTCCACATTGATTAATATCATCAAGTCTTATATCTTCCGTTTCTTTCTTTGAAAATCCTTCCTACGATAAGAAGTTTAGCCATGTTTGTAAATTTTCCTGAGTCGAACGATAGATCGTGTATTCTCCTACGTGGATTAATATTTTATAGAGAGAAATAGGTGAAGACTTACTCAAAAGGTCTTCCGAAGGAGCTACAATAATAAAGCTAAGTTGCAACATCCCTCGTATTAACACTCTTTTTAGGCGCATACACCGCTTCTCTGTCCACATAGAGGACATGGTGGTTTGAAAATCAGAAGACAGCGTTGAAAAGACGAAGAGCTTAAACACGAGAGGGACAAGAATAATGAGCAACTAAAGGGATAAAACCTGCCTTTTGTATTGAGAGAACGGTTCTTGCCTCGGCTGACGATTTTTGCTTTGTGGCAAGAAACCTATTGTGGAGGATTTTCGTTTCTCCTGCCGGCCCGGAAAAGGATATAGACAAGTCTATAGTGACCGCTCAAAATAGAATTATAGGTCGTCTCCTTCCCATGCGATGTTCGAGCACCTAGTCTTTCAAATTTACCCAGCGGGCAGCGCAGCTTTTGCTTACGTGCACGCGAATAGAAGCAGTTGAAAAGACTAGTCAAATCATGCTATATACAAAGTAAAAAGAGAGATTCCATGGCTATCTACAGAGGGGTATTAAGAATACCATTCCTTTCCTTAAACCGCTCAACCCAACCAGTAGTATTGACCAAGGCACAATCGTCATCATTCCCACACATAGCCGTAAAAAAGCGAGCCTTGGTTTCAATTACAGCATCCGCGGGACGTGGAATACTTTTCTTCACCCAAATTGCTAGAGTGCGTTCAATTGGGCCGAGCTGTGGTAGAAAGTTTGAGGTTAGATATAGCGGTACTGAATGAGTTTCAGAGCTAGGTGACGTACTTGACCACGGCATTCCACCATTGTTCGTAGCCCAACCCTCACTATTGCCGGGAAACTGCAGTGTTGTTGTAATTAGTGGAACTTGGTTCTCAGCGTTAAACTTTGACCCTGTCCCGACTGCTCGTGTCCGAGGTTCGTTAAGTTGCTGCTGAAGTTGCTGCGGATCAACTAATCGCCTCTCGTCTTTGTCATGTAACCCGTGCTGAGCTTGCGCCAGTGAACTTATCGGGCCTGGTTCTGGCGAAGTCCACATTGGCATTTGCTGGTGTGAAAAGCTGGCAGGCCAGATCTGTGGATGTCCTGTATTGACAAACGGCGTACCGCCCGTAATCGGGGGCAATGGGAGTAGGGGCGAGTTTGGATATGGGTCTCTGCTATCTACAGAGGGGTATTAAGAATACCATTCCTTTCCTTAAACCGCTCAACCCAACCAGTAGTATTGACCAAGGCACAATCGTCATCATTCCCACACATAGCCGTAAAAAAGCGAGCCTTGGTTTCAATTACAGCATCCGCGGGACGTGGAATACTTTTCTTCACCCAAATTGCTAGAGTGCGTTCAATTGGGCCGAGCTGTGGTAGAAAGTTTGAGGTTAGATATAGCGGTACTGAATGAGTTTCAGAGCTAGGTGACGTACTTGACCACGGCATTCCACCATTGTTCGTAGCCCAACCCTCACTATTGCCGGGAAACTGCAGTGTTGTTGTAATTAGTGGAACTTGGTTCTCAGCGTTAAACTTTGACCCTGTCCCGACTGCTCGTGTCCGAGGTTCGTTAAGTTGCTGCTGAAGTTGCTGCGGATCAACTAATCGCCTCTCGTCTTTGTCATGTAACCCGTGCTGAGCTTGCGCCAGTGAACTTATCGGGCCTGGTTCTGGCGAAGTCCACATTGGCATTTGCTGGTGTGAAAAGCTGGCAGGCCAGATCTGTGGATGTCCTGTATTGACAAACGGCGTACCGCCCGTAATCGGGGGCAATGGGAGTAGGGGCGAGTTTGGATATGGGTTTTGATACTGGTCGAATAACCTCTGCTGCTGGCTCTGAACAACATCGTGGGCATATCTTTGCACTATCAACGTCGATGTCATCACCATATCTTCTCTTTGAAGACAGATCAGTATCTCCGTTAAGGCTGGCTTTTTCGGACTTTTGTGCCATGTCATTGGCTAACTTGTCCATCTCCAAGTATGGTGTAACATGTTTCATCAATTCGCTGCGTATCGAAAGGATTTCAGGGTAGGTCCAGCCATATGCCAGAAGCCCGTCAACAATGGCGCGTGCAGCGGGGGCGTTTAACGATCTGGCGCGCTTCCCTAGATCGGGAAGCTTGTCTTCCCGATACTGAATGACAAGTCTTATATCCTCCTTCGTCAAGTTCTTCTCCCAACTACATCATCGAACATGTGTTAGCCTTCAGTGGCATAAAAGTCAATTGGAACTCACTTAGCGGTGACCTCCGACCCAACCTCGAGAACAGAACCAGGACCTTCCTCAGCAAGTAGTTGCATGTAGCCTCTGCTTTTCTTGTAGTCATCCTTCAGGGTGTTCAAGGAAATGCCGGAGCTTTCGGCGAGCTCTTCGAAGGCAATCGTCTTCCGGCCCCGACCAGACGAAAGTTTTAGCTTGTTCGATGAATATATGTGGTCTACATCATTGGCCAAGAACAAAAGGCTGAGGCGGCTTGCACATTCATACTCTCCATTTCCCTGCCTTATCTTCTGGCGACCTCGCTGTAGCCGACAGAGTCTCCCGCTGGGGCCAGTTTCGGAACCTTCAAATATCTTCCCCTTGGTTGACCACAGCCTTTCGTAAGACTGCAAGGGAAGTGCTGCGGCCTTTTCTAGGCCACGAACAGTTCGAACCAAACGTTGCACACGAATCTGCTTATCATGCCCAAGGATTTTTTCAAAGTACGCCGCAGCGATACCGTTAGAGCCTGATGAAGAAGCATCCGCACTCGCAGGCCTAGGAACAACCTCCGTCAACAGAGCTGCACCGGATAGTGTACTGGCCGAAATAATAGTGTTTGGTGAGGAATGACACTGTGATGTGGGCTCTGAGATAGGATTGCTGGATGAGACGGTGCTTGATGGAGGAGCTGTCAAGGGGGTGTCTTGTGGAGCAGCGGATGCTCTCGAGGGGGAGTTGTCGTGCGAAGAATTCGACGGAGGAAAGTTTGATACATCAATTCCAAGTGGACTCTTGGGTCTAGCCGAAAAGACTTCTCTGTGAAGTAGTGGAACGAGTCGCCAGCAATTTTCTGCGGTACCTCGCTCAAGGAATTCTCTGAAAGAAGCTTCTAGTTTCTGCTTCTAAGTCAGCGAGGCCTAATATTAGGGTAATGACACGGTATCAATTACCTCTGACTTGATGATATCTGTTGGCGATAAATAACTCAAGGCCCTGACAAGAATTTCTTCAACTTTACTTCCATGAGCATCACGATCGGTTGACTCGGGGATGGATTCCATAAGGTGATCTTCAACCTTTCAATTTGTGCCGTGGAAAATGTGAGAAGGAAAGAAGGACTTCAAGTCCACTGATGGACTTCAAGTACTTGCAGGTGGCGTGCCCACGCGCTAAGCCTCTTGCTGCGCGTTATCCCTGCTTGCAGATATTCATGCCTTCGACCGTGCCTAGGAAGTTATAATCAAATACCCCTGGATTGAATTTCGGTCCGGGCAGTGAGTGACCATGTTCTCAATTGAATACCCAGAGGCAATGCGATCTCGATTGAGGCTAGCCGTGAGATATGTATAAGAAGCTTGTGGAACGAGGCAATCTGCATACGCCCTCGTCGTTGCTGGTTCGCCTTACTTTTTTCCCTCATTCACTCGTCAAGATGCTAGGATATCCTCCTGTCGCTTCAATCAACCCTGATTTGAGCACATTTGAAAGAACAGTTACGAGATCTTCCCATTGTTCTACGGAACACCTCGTGAGTTATGCCATTTAATACTTCTTCCTTGTGCTCACATTGTGTGATAGATCGGGGTAGCCTTGACAATCTCTTTTGGAATCTCCAGTGCAGACGGTTATAGCTGCAAGCACCCGGAATTTCACACAACGACAATTGAAGGGTTCAAAATCATATCTTTCAAACATCCAAACATTGTGGAAATCCAGTTCTACGATCAGTATTTTGATACTACCACGAACGCTTTAGGGGCCTCTTGGGCAGGGCGTTTTATTCTTTTTCGTCATTGGTACTGGATCCGGCTGCTCCAAACTGGGTTCAGAAGGAATGACAGACCATTCCGATTGATCGGTGCTCAGACAGGGTACTTAATTGGGGGAAGCTGCTGTGGTCACGGTACACCGATGTCCCATGCCGAGTTAGCAGAGTGTTGGGAAGGTGGGATCCTCCTCGCAGAAAGTCATGGAGGATGGGGGCGGTTTATTGAGCATATACGGACCTATTCTGCCATGGTTATGTGGATGAAGTTTGGCAGGCATTTCTCACAACTGGAGACTTCTTCTTTATGGAAGAAACTTTTCCCTCGAGGAAATTCCGGCTTGCCAAAGCAAAAAGAAGGAATAAGGGTTACACGGAAACCACGAATGCGATCCCGGAAAGCTCTTGATCGGAGCGAGAGAGACTTCGAGTTCGCCTCATATGAGGAAGATTCTAGTGCTTGATAATATTAAATTGTTTTATTACTCTCAACTCACTTCCATTGCCTCATATTGTACAGGTTAGCCGAGTTCGTACTCAGTAAATAAATAGGGGCATAGGATTTCTTGTCCCGATGAAGTTTCAAGTGTTTGTCCCTGAATTCAATGGTCTACGGTCCACGGTCTACATATAAGCATGTCCATCCTACACACTTGGCTTTCAGAAACTGACCTCGTCCTCCTATTCTTTTCAATTTTCATTGCTTTCTGGTTCGGAGCAATTATTTACTGTATACCTGTGCAACTTTATCTTGATAAGAAGACGTTGAAGGCCGAACAACGCTCAGCGGTACTCTACGATAGAGCAAAAGGTACAAGAAACCAGAAAGATTAAGAAACGCTACAATACGACCTGTAAGTTTTCCCAGATCTCGTACGTGGGTGCAATATACTAATAATATGACAATCAAAGAATCTTCACCAGCATAAACAATGGACCTACCCAAGGACCCTCGAAATTGGAGTTTGCCTCATAGTCAACACGCATCGAACACCTTTCAAAACCCGTCAGCCTTCCAACAAAACTCAAGCCTTGTTTCGCAGATACCAATTACATGGACTCCCTCAATCTCACCCAAGGATATTGATTTGGCTTCTCGCCTTCCGGCCTGCCCCTTAGAATGTCAAAGTCAAGAGAAAACTTCTAGTGCACCTGCTGATACAGGAATCTACACCTGTACTCAGCACGGCTGTACTCTTCTATTCGACACGATATTTGAGATGAAGCACCACAGGCGAATACGTCATCCGAACCCTGTAAGTTCTATTGTTTCCCCTATATTTTGAAATAAGCTAATTGCCATTTTTATAGTGCTATAAAACAAATCCTTGGACCGGAAAGAGATGTGATTTAAAATTCTCTCGGCCACACGATCTTACACGACATGTGAATTCTATTCACAAAGTATCTAAGGAAAAGGAAAAGTGTGAGCTGTGTACAGATAGGGGATTTAGCAGACACGATGCGCTCGTCAGACATATGGGGTCAGCGCATCCCGAACATAAAACAGGAGCTAAGAAGCGTAAGACCAAATGTGTGTAAGGTTTACCTTTAGTGTTTCCATCTGTGTATACTTGGACAGTCGTATGGGCTATGTCATGCTTTCTATTAAGTTCTATTGCGTCGGGGGAATTGATCGATGGTGCGTGATGTTGGTCGAGGTCAAAAGAAGTATTTGCTATAAACTTTGGCGGGAATAACATTGAAGAATCTGTTCTCTGTGTAAAACCTAGTAACCTTGTCGAATCGTACAATTGCCCCGCATTTTGTGACTCGGTGATTCTCTGGTGATACGCTCACGCTACTCTCCTCCAATCATCGTTTGCGCCCCACTAATATCCGCGAGAGCCAATAGGAGAATGTTTCCTGGCATTCCGAACACAACTGGGTGTTCCGGGTGCCAGTGCGGGTGATGTGGGTGACGCCCACCACAAACAAAAGATACCTTCATCAATGGCGAGCTTGTCATGATGAGGTTTAGACAGCACCAGTATCTTGGTACGTGGTGTAGTCGTGACACCTGGCCTGTGGGTTGTGATTAATTCTGCGAGTTCCTGGACAAGTACCTTGTCAGCGTGCTCAAATGGATGAATGGCCGGTCATACGGTATCTTTATCTTGAACAATGTGTAGTAGATCTCCTACGCTTTGTTAATATTGCTATAGGGAAAAAGTGATGATATAGCTATATAAAATGTGTGGAAACTATATACCTCACGTTGCTGGGATGATCGATCAAGGATTTCAATGGTGAAAGTTGAGGCCTAGGTGACCTTGTGCGACCAGCGCTCTCTTTATCTTGTTCTAGATATACTACATATACTGCAACAAGATAGATTCTTGGATCAACTTGAAGTCACCTGAAATATCACCACAGAAGGTACCTCTCCACCCCCATTTCTCCTTAGCAGGTTTGTTAAAGAAGTATTCTAACCACTAGATAGTTATGACAACAACCATCGATAAATTGCTTGAGGATGGGCGTATTGTCACTCACGCCAGAGTGGTCGTTCATACTACAGGTCCACTTGGCCCAAACACCCCAATGAGCGACAATCACTGGTCTATTTACTTGCTTCTAGCAAAGGGTGGTTCACTTCGCTTGAACATGAGAGCAGAGTGGGATGACGACGCCGAAGCATGGAACACAGAGGGAATACTCGATTGCTCAATACATACATACATTAAGACAAATTCTTGTATCGAGTTCTGGGACTATCCAATTCCAAATATTTCTGTTGGGTGGATTTGCACTCTTCTTTGAAACAAAGAACGCGATTCGTATGAGATGTCAGGGGGAGGTTCTGGTTGCCGCTACTGGGTGTAAGTACTTCTATACTCATATGCAACAGCTGCTAAGTTGGCTTCAAGTTATACTATTATTTGTCTACTCGAAGATCAACAATACCTTTCATCTGGTTCTGCCAATAGTTTGTGGCCGAACCTGCTCTACAGGTACTCTAGATCCGGGGAAAAAAGAGACTTACCAATGGTCAAGGGAGAGTTCTATGAGAGTGGCCGATTTCCAAAATCAACGGTTCAACAAAGTACCCAAAACGCCATGGCGGCTACACCATCTGTAGCTACCAGCTCATCATCTGCTGTTTACACATACCAATCACTAACTACGACGACTGAGCAGCCATATTATTATGTCCATGACGGGGAGTATTTTTACTGGAATACCCGAGAGTCTATCAAAGTAGATCGTCCAAAGAATGTATGGGTCAAAAATGCGAACGGATGGTCGGAAACCAACAGGGAGAAATACTGGCGATTCTGGGATGGGAAGAAGACTTGTTATGAATGAGTATAGGCGCTTAGTGTATTTTACCAGACAAATTGTGTTAGTCGAAAGGATACACGCCAGAGACTTGGCAGTGTTAAATATAGGAAGAACAAAGAAGTCCCGTCCTTACAATTTCATTGTTACTATATTCTATCAACAATTCATCTATCTCTTGACTTCTTCTTAGTTATTAGGCCTAATTAGGCATAGGGTGAGATAATTGAAGAGCATATTGAATCCGAATATCTCTGACTAAATCTGGGAACCATCTAGACTATGTTGGAATACGCATATTTTAAAAAAGTTGAAGTGGGTCTCCGATTGACTTTAATTTCCTTTTACTTCATATCAAGTTGTACTCGTGGAGTAAGGGTGCTTCTCTCTATCCATTGGTATGCGGCGCCGGGTTGTTCACTTGAAAGTGAACTCGTTACTTGTATCAAAGGTGTCAAAAAATATAATAAGATTGATAAACTAAGTTGAGCATGAAGCGCCTAACTACTGGCAGACGTGCCAGTCTAGTTGGGTATACTAGAGCGCTGGTCGCTCCCCTCGCATGGGTCGCTTGTCGCCCCTAGCGATTCTTAGTCACATGACTTACAATATAAAGAAATCCTTAGATTGCTTAACTAGCCTAAACTTTCCTATTTACTGTAAAATCCTTGGATGTGCTTGTCCTGTCAGAGCGCCGTCTGGACTTCATTTATCACATGCTAACACGTGATTTGTGACAACCAGTCACCCCGCCACTTCACCACTTCACCATTTCATTCACTACTTCACCACTTCACTCATCACTTCACCTTTCCACTTCACCACTTCGTCTCCTCACCTTCTCACTTCACCACACCATTCACCACTTCACTCATCACTTCACCATTTCACTCCCCACTTCACCACTACCCCACCTTCTCTTCCCACTCCTTACTATGGCTTCTTTTAACCTTTATCACGAAACTGCAACCGACGATGAAATAGCAGCCTTCTGTTTAACTCCAAACCATATATCTCTTAGCGAAGCTTGTTATGATAACCACGTGGTTAGGCTATCTGACGAAGCAGTAGTAAAGTTTGGTATAGGCGTTAAGGAAGAGGAGGCGGAAAGTCAAAGGCGGGCTCATGAACTAATCAATAATAATATCGTTCGGATTCCATTGGTCTATCGTTTTTTCACTAAAGAACAACAAGGCTATATTGTTATGGAGTATATGCAGGGAAGAGTCATGGAGCCTGTGGAAAATTCTTTTCTAAGAAATAGAATTGCTGATATTCTTGCTCATCTTGCGAATATACGCGGTTCTATGCCTGGTCCACTTGGTGGTGGAGTGTCATGTGGTATCCTTTGGTCTGAACACAGCGAAGAACCTTTTCTTCATACTGTTAAGGATATGGAAAATTGGTTCAATATGAGATTAAAAAAACAAGATCCTAAACTAATATTCAGCGAATCTGAATTGGTTCTGTGTCATCTTGATATAGCTCCTCGAAACTTCCTCTTACTACACGACAATTCTATTTGTCTTCTTGATTGGGCTTCTGCTGGGTTTTATCCAAGAGTTTTCGAAGTATGTACACTACGAATTACTCATGGATTGAAAGATTCTTTTCATGAAGATGTCCTGAAGCTGGGGGATTTAACAGAGAAGGAGGAATTTCAGATAACTTCAATGATATTGGCTTATTCCAATAGCGTAAGATATCACTTGTAAGTAAGTCCTCGTCTTTTTTTCTTGTTGATTTTTCTCATCAGCTCTCTAGCGGACCCATCCAGACGTTACACGAGACAAACCTTGTACCCGTCCTGGAGCACCAGGACGATGATCCTAGCGATGATTGATGGTTGATAACAGCGCCGGGAGACGGTCCTAATTCTACAAAGGTACATTAAGTCTCAAATTATACACAATTTGCCCAGAACTAATTATATTGCTCTTAGGAACTTCTATGCTGGCCACATTATCGGATCAAGAACGACGCACTATTGCCAGACAGGTTATTACGTACTCCGGAGATTTATACAAACTACAAAGCACAATGATGGCACNCTTAGGAACTTCTATGCTGGCCACATTATCGGATCAAGAACGACGCACTATTGCCAGACAGGTTATTACGTACTCCGGAGATTTATACAAACTACAAAGCACAATGATGGCACGTGCTAGAACTTCCCGGGGAACAATCATTGATCGGATACCATTCGAAAGGCCTCAGTTGTTTCTGCCATAATAGATTTCCAAAGCTGTGTCTACGTTCCGAAGTTTTAGGGGGCTCTCGAAATATTCCGACGCGCGGCGCAACGACCACACAAGTGGTTTACAATANACCATTCGAAAGGCCTCAGTTGTTTCTGCCATAATAGATTTCGAAAGCTGTGTCTACGTTCCGAAGTTTTAGGGGGCTCTCGAAATATTCCGACGCGCGGCGCAACGACCACACAAGTGGTTTACAATACTCAAGGAGGAGTTTTCGCAACATCTGGACGCTGATACCTTAGTAGCCTTGGTGGATTTGGCACGGCTTTATATTGCTTTTGGGGGTTTTGCCGAAGAAGACATAGATGCTATTAAGCGAGGAGAGTAAACAACGTAATTTCATT